CCCGTAGCCCGTGGCTCCCTGGTCCCCTGGCCAGGTCCAGGAGAAGGGGGCCGCCTCCCGGCCCCCCACACCCTGCTGGGGTCATCTCTGCCGCCTCGCTGCTGCGGCCTCTCGGCTGCCCCAGGGGCCCGAGACGCTGCCGGGCCCTGACGTTTTGGAAGGCCAAGGCCTGCAGCTCCGAGTGGAGAGTTTCTGTTCCAGAACTATTCTGTGAGCCAAGAGAGTGTCGGTGCGGGTGAAGCTCGCAGTCAGTGTGCACGAGGAGCCCCGGCCGGTCTCCCTGTGGGCTGAGCGGCTGGCGCTGGGCCTGGAGCGGCCTCGACCGCGCACCTGAGCCCGGCTGTTCCCGAGACCGTGGCTCAGCTGCAAAGGCTGGGTTAGCAGCAGAGGTTGAAAGAGGAATCCCCGCCCTCAGCGCTGACTTAAGACATCATCCCTCACCCCTTATCTCCTTGGAAGGGTGGGAGCCTTCCAGCTTCAGGAGCAGGCTGGCTGAGTGGGAGGTGGCAGGTGGAATTTTCCAAATCAGGGCTCCCCTGCATGACCCTTTACCTCCAATGCAGCCAGGTCAATCTGTCTCTCTCTCTCTTTTAGAAATTTTATTTTCTTGTGGTAACACTTAACATGAGACTTAATAACACTTACTATGAGAATCTCCCATCTTAAATTTTTAAGTGTACAAACAATATTGTTAACTCTAGGTACAGTATCATACAGCAGGTCTCTAGAACTTATTCATCTTGCTTAACTGAAACTTTACGCCTGTTGATTAGCAACTCCCCATTTCTCCCTCCTCCCAGCCCCTGGCAACCACCATTCCACTTTGGGATTCTATGACTTTGCCTATTTTAGAACCTCACATAAGTGGACTCATGCAGTCCTTCTGTGACTGGCTTATCTCACTTAGCGTAATATCCTCCATGTTCGTCTATGTTGTCGTATATTGCAGAATTTCCTTCTTTTTAAAAGCTGAATAATATTCCATTGTCTGTATGTGCCAGATTTTCTTTATCTATTCATCCCTCGATGGACATTCAGGTTGTTTCCACATCTTGGCTGTTGTGAATAGGGCTGCAGTGAATATGGGAGTGGTTATATCTCTTCCAGATCCCAATTTCAATTCTTTTCAATAAATACCCAGAAGTCGGGTTGCTGGATCATGTGGTAGTTCTATTTTTAATTTTTTGAGGAACCTCCATGCTGTTTTCCATAGCAGCTGCGCCATTTTGCATTCCCACCAACAAAGTACAAGGGGTCCCATTTCAATCTCTTCACTCTCCTGCATAGAGAAGCCCAAGGCCTTCTCATGCCATCCCTCCCCTGGAGGACAACCCCTTCCTCACTGGCTAGGAAAATCTTCCTCACCCTCTATGCACACTTTTTTTTGGTCATCTCAGCCATCCTCTTCTCCTGGCTCTTATTTCCATCAGTACTTTCCTTATTGTTTGGTGCAGAATTCAGTCTGCAATTGCTATCTAATAAATACTTGGTACGTAGAACGGAACTGAGTGCTTTATTTATTTATTTATTTATTTATTTATAAGAGTCTTTGAAGATTTTATTTATTTATTTATTTTCCCCCAAAGCCCCAGTAGATAGTTGTATGTCATAGCTGCACATACTTCCAGTTGCTGTATGTGGGACGCAGCCTCAGCATGGCCGGAGAAGCAGTGCGTCGGTGTGCGCCCGGGATCCGAACCCCGGCCGCCAGCAGCGGAGCGCGCGCACTTAACCGCTAAGCCACGGGGCCTGCCCCGGAACTGAGTGCTTTAAATGGTAATCTCATTTAATTTTCACAACATCCGGCTGATGATGTAGGTACTATTGTAATCGCTATTTTACAGAGAAATGAGTCTTAGTGAAATTTAGCAATTTACCCAGCTTATGTGCTGGAGCAGGGATTTGAACTGAGTGTTTTCTGCACTCAGATCCCTAGTGTTTATCTTAGTTAACTTTTTATTTTTGTACAATTGTCTTCCCAGCTCTCCGAGGACTGGGAGTATGTCTTTTACCTTGTTGTGTCCCCCACAGTGCTGGGTACTTAGTATGTGCTCAACAAATACCTATATTTGATTGGTTAGTAGAGCTGGAGTTTTATTCCCAGGCATCTAAACACAGCCCTGCATGCAGAGTTTCAAAGGTGCATTAATTGTACAAATGCTACTAATATTAATGATTCTAACAGTAACCACTAATGTATATCTCTCCTTATAAAGTCTATATCTTTATGCTTATATATCTGTCCTTGTAAAGCATTTTTACACAATTACTGAATTAGATTCTAAGAGATTATGAAACTGTATCAATCAGTTGGGCACGCAATGTCACTGTTCCCATTTTATGATAGAGGAAGGGGATTCAGAGAGGTAAGTGAGATCCTACAGTTAGTAGAGAAGGGAGACCCACTGAGGCTGTGAGAACCTTGGGTTCCTTTTCTCTGGACCACAAGCAACTCCACCCTCTAAAAGGACTTCGTAAACTGTAAAGGGCTGTACAGGTGGGGAGTGTTATTTTATTAAATAGCAGGACAGTAACGATGATGTAACCAAGTTAGTCACATCGGGAGGAAACAGGTGGGTCAGTGAGCTCTCTCGGTTTGGGCGGTGGCTAGAACGTGGACAGGTTGGGTCCGAGGTGAGACCCTCATGAGGATATGTCCAGCTGTGCCTAGCCGCCCTGACCTCAGGAGAGGGCTTCCGGCTGGAGACGGACGGGAAAGGTCTGTGTTCCTGCTTGCTCGTTCATGCTCTGTGTTTCTGCTCCTGCCGCCCCTTGAGCCTGGAACGCCCTCACCCACCATCCTTTTCCCTTTCTGCTGCCTAATTCCTATTTATCTTTTTAAGATTCTCTCTGGGCATCCCCCCTCCTGACTCCCTCCTGGCACTGTCGTGTTCTCGTGACACCATGGACTCGCCTTCCTCATTGTACTTCCCATATTGTCCTATAATATCCTTGCACCAGACAGTGAGCTCCTTGGGCTCAGGGACCACATCTTCTTTGGTTTCCCGGAGTCAATCATGACTGCGTGGTTGTTGAATGACTGACTGACCATTTGCAAGGGAGTCTGGTGGAGTGCAGGGTTTCTCTATCAGTGAGGGGTTTCCTGGGGGAACATGAAGTTTGAAACCTCTGCCTGTGATGCTTTGTCAAAGCCAATCACCAACACTGACAAGAGAAACACTTGGGTTGTCTTTTTATGTCAACCCCTCCAGTTTGTTTTAAAATATCCTTTAGTTGATTTTATTCCCATTTAATTTTTTCATGTGGAAAAACACTGTTTATTAATAAAAATTAAAAAATACTCTAAATACAATCAGGGCTATCCTTGTGGCTGTCTTCCTGCAGTTCAGTCTTCCTTGGGCAGTTCATTGATTCTCTTTGGCTTCAACTCTCTCTTCGATATTCGTGACTTTGATTCATCTCTCTGACCCTTACCTCTTTTGAACTTGGGACATTCATTTCCAGTCAGCTGCCAGGCATTTGTGTACATCTCAGCAGCCCTTCACAGTCAACATTCCAAAGCAGAAGCTTTTGCTTTCAGAAAGTGTTCCTTGTGCATTTTCTATTTTGGTAACTGGCAGCTCTGATCATATAAGTTATAAACTTTGCCACCCTACCTGACCCAGTCAGTCACTTGCAAGTGCAGTTGATTCTAGTTAGCTAGAATTAGAACCAGGGCTCTGGAAACCATGCCTTCTTATCATCTTCCCTGCCGTGGCCTTCATTTATTCATTAATTCAAGCATCAGCTGATGATTGAGTACCACCTGTGTGCCAGGCACTGTTCCAGGCAGGTGAAATACAGCATCAAACAATAACAGACAAAAGACCTGCCCCTGAAGAGTTACTTTCTAGAAGCAAGGGAGACCCACAATAAACAATGTAGTGAATAGGTAAATGATTTCGTATGTTAGAAGGTGAGCACTATAGGAAAAGCGAGTAGGGGATCAGGAATGCCAGGGGTAGAGTTCAAGGTTGCAGCACTAAGTGAGATGGTCAGGGTGGGCCTCCTGAGACTATTAGAAGAGGAAGGAGAGGAGGGAGGGAGCCATGTAGATCTCTTGGGAGGAGTGGTGCAGGCACAGGGAAGGGCCAGAGCAAAGGGCCTGAGGCGGAGGCTGAGAGCGTGCTTGGCATGGTCAGGGAGCAGCAAGGGGGCCAGTGTGGCTGGATTGGAGGGAGCCAGGTGGGCAGTGGTAGGAGAAGAGTCAGGGAGGAAGGGGTCTCAACCACATGGACCAGTAGGGGAACTTTGCCTTTTACTCTGAGTGGAATGGCCCTTGCAGGGTTTTGAGCAGAGGAGTGACACATTCTAAAATAATTGAAAGACTCACTGGCTGCTCCGCTGAGAACAGACCAAGGGATAGAAGTGGCGAGGGCGGAAGCCCCATCATTTCTTGTCTGGTAGGGTGGGAAGTAGCTTTGAACAGATGCCCTGCTTCTCTCTACCGTGGCAAACCTCTTCATACTTCAGTATTCCTCTCTCTGTCGTGGGCCACATTTCCAAAATGCGGGCCAGATTATGCTGTTCTCTAGTAACAGCTGCTGGAACAAAATCCAAACTCTGGGAGTGGCATTCGAGGCCCGTTGTGATCTGGCTACCACCTGCCCTTCCAGCTTCCCCTCCCACTGTTCTCTGTTCCTCTCACACACCGGGCCCTGTCATCCTCCCATGCCTTTGCTCGTGTTATTCTCTCACTTTCTACGCAGCAAAATCCTTTTTTTGGTTAAGTCCCATCTTCTCTTAAAAGCCTCTGCAGAGCCTCCAAGTCAGAATGAATCTCTGAGCTCGCACACCCAGGGGGGAGGGCGTTTGTGTCTGTGAAGCACACATCTAGTTCTGTTGCACTGTAGTTACTCAATGCCTCCTAGGTTGTAAGCTCCTGGTTGTAAGCTTCCTGTGTTCATCTTTGCATCTTTGCGCCCTCAGTCTGCAGAAAGGGCCTAACTCAGCTTTGGAAATGGTTCTAATCACCCAGCTTTTTCGGTTCTTTCTTGCAGATTGAGGTGCTAGTGAAGGACATGCAGAACCCAGAGTCGGGGGTCAAAATGCAGAACCAGAAGGTCCTGGTCACCAGCGTCCCTCATGCCATGACAGGTAATGTATCTCATGATTTAGTCTTGGCCCGGAACAGACCACACGCAGGGGTTGGCAAACTATAGCCCATGGGCCAAATTCGGCCCGCAGCCTGTATTTGTAAATAAAGTTTTATTGGAACACATCCACGTCCCCGTTTATGTATTGTCTTTGGCTGCTTTTACACTACAGTGTTCAGGAGAGTTCAGGAGTTGCGCAGAGACCGGATTATGGCCCAGAAAACCAAAAATATTTGCTTTCTAGCCCTTTACAGAATAAGTTAGCTGGTTCCTGGACCACAGGCTCCTTCTGAGGAAGGGGTCAGAAAGGAAGGAGAAGAGCGCTCAATAGGTCACTTCCTGAAGGCATTCTTCCCAGAAGCTCATTTAAAAAGCGTTTACTGTCACTTTTATTTGTTTGCCTTGTTTGTTTTATTTTCACGAAACTAGGTAGCAGGAAAAAAATACTATTTGGGAGAAAAAAACTGACCTTTGTCTGTTCCACCCTTTCCTACCTTCTAATTCATATTCAGACCCTTCCTAACTGCCCCACGGGGATAGTGCCGATGTCTCCTTTCTCTGGACGTGGGATAGAGAGCTCGTGGAGCATCATTTGAGGATATCAGCAGAAGGGGCCGACCCCAAAATGAGAATGCCTTTTGATTAATATGTTGTGTATGTTTTATGATTTTGGATTTGTAGTGAAGAGTATATTTCCTTCTGGGGCATATCGTACGCAGGAGCAGACTGCTTCTCAAAGCACAAGCCTGGAACTCACTTCCCTGCTGTGCTCCTTGTGAGCCCTCCCTCTCTACCCTACCCATGACCTGACTATTCATTTTTCCTTCAAGGTGCCCTAGTCTTTGCAGAGGCAACCTGGCTAACAGTCTCCCATTTCCCTTTCTGACTGCGTGCGAGAAGGAGTGCCCTGCCAGCAGTGTGTCACTCAGGTTTCCTTGAGTGCAAGCAATCTGGCTAGTTGGAGCAAAAGAGGAATTGATTGGAATGGAACGGGGTAGCTCACAGAGGAAAAGGAATCTCTGACAAACCAGACTTGGGAAAGGCTAGGAACCAGAGTAGCCTAGAAACCCAAAGAGCAGGGATCGATGGGCAGACTTTCCAGGGTGCCGCTGTTCTCCCCCAGCGTTTCAGATGCAGCTGAGGCAATTCTTCCTGACAGCATCCCTGCCCCTGCCCCCTCTCTGCTCCTGGTTGTCATTAATTCTGGCCTGAATTCTCCACTGGATTGGAGAGCCATCCAGGGGAGATAGCTTGTCTTGCTCTTCTGGGTGACCCCAGTGCTTAGTATAGCTGTGGGTCAGGGTGGAGGTTTAATAAAAGTTTATTGAGGGGGCCGGGCTGGTGGCGCAGCGGTTAAGTGCGCGCGCTCAGCTTCGGTGGCCCGGGGTTCGCCAGTTCGGATCCCGGGCGTGGCCCGATGCACCGCTTGTCAAGCCATGCTGTGGCAGCATCCCGTGTAAAGTAGAGGAAGATGGGCTCGGATGTTAGCCCAGGGCCAGTCTTCCTCGGCAAAAAACGAGGATTGGCATCGGATGTTAGCTCAGGGCTAATCTTCCTCACAGACAAAAAAAAAAGTTTATTGAATGTGTGACTCAGTCCTGGTCCAGCACTGTGCAGAGGCACTGGACATCGAGTCAGGCACCCTGGGATTGAATCCTTCAGGTCCCTTTTTCTAGCTGTGTCGCCCTGGTCTCAAATTTCTCATTTTAAAAGCAGAAATAGCAATCCCTGTCTAAGAGAATGGTCGCAAGAATTAAATGAGATAGTACTGTGCAAGTTGTCAGCTCTCAGTGATGCTTGATGGGTGGCGATGGTAGCAATTTTCTGCACTGTGTCAGTTGATACCCACAATAAAGTTAGGGATAGGTATGACCGTCTCCTTTTTGCACTTGGGGCCATGGAGACACAAAGAGGTTCAGTAACTTGTCCCCATGTCACTAAGCTCACACATAGCTGAGCTTGGAGTTGAATCCAGCTTGTGACTCCAGCATCCACGCTCTTGTCCACTGTCTGTATGTGTGAGCTGCTTTCCTTCTCTTTTTTTTGGTGAGGAAGATTGGCCCTGAGCTAACATCTGTTGCCAATCTTCCTCTTTTTGCTGAGGAAGATTGTTGCTGAGCTAACATCTGTGCCCATCTTCCTCTACTTTATATATGGGATGCCGCCACAGCATGGCTTAATGAGCGGTGTGTAGGTCTGTGCCCGGGATCTGAACCCGCAAACCCTGGGCTGCCGAAGTGGAGTGCACGAGCTTAACCACTATGCCACCAGGCCCGCCCCTGCTTTCCTTCTTTGCACATGGGGCGCACTTGGTTCCTGGATTTGGGCGAGGCTTCCCTCCCCCCACCCCGCCACCCTGCCATGTTTTCCCTTGTTCCTCTTGCGTGAGTGACTTCCACCTGCTGTCAGAACAGAACACAGGGAGAAGCCCTATCCTGTAACATCAGCACTAATAAAAGCAAACTTGGGTAATCACATCCAACTCCTCAGATGGCAGGTTACCCAGGGCTTCTGGGGATGAAGGTGGCTGACATGGGAGCCTGCCATGCTGTCAGCACAGACCACATGGTGCAGATGCTGGTGGCCCCGTAATCTCATTTGATCTATTTCAGGAAGCAGTCCAAGTGGATGAGAAAACCCTCGGCTCCTTGGTGGACAGCGCTAATCAGTCCGCCGTCTGCCTGGATCTCGCTTGGTCTGCATTCCACCGCGTAGCACTTAAAGAGAATTGGAGTGGAAAGTCTAAAACACTCAGTTCCAGGGTTTTAAGTAGGATTTTAGATAAAGAGTTTTGCTTTTGAATAGCCAGCCAAGGGCAAATAAAGCTAAGAGCAACAGAGGGGAACGCATTGACAGCAATAATGGTGGGCATGTGGGCCCTGAGAGAGATAACGGCTGGACATTTGTGCTCCAGGGTGTGAATAGGAAGGGAAGAGTCACAGGTTGTCCACCCCCAGCCATGCTGTGGGCAGGTAGTTAAGCTCAGATAGCACATGTGTGGGCCATAAGGGCCCTTCCTAGAGGGTACCAGAAGAAATGCCCCTTACTACCTCTGAGGAGGGAAGTATCATTTGCAACAGTCCAGCCACAAGGACACAGGCAGTGGGGTCTCAGACCCTGACCCTCCTGCTTGACGTGTTTTCTGGGCTGGTTCTCTTGCAGGCAGAGGACCCAGCTCAGCCTTTGTAAAACAGGCTAAAGTTGCTGGAAAATGTGGTCATTGGTGTTTGCAAGATGGCGTCTGAGTTGGGGTACTTGGTTCCAGGACTTCTCGTCTTTCTTCTGAGATGCTGCTGCCCTCCTCCTACAAGGAGCATGTTTAGCCAGAGGGCCCAGGTTGAGGAGGAGGTGCACAGCTTCCTTGGGGTCCTGCAACAGCCCTGGACTTGTTGGTGGAACTTGGCTTGCCTTGGTCCTTAGATAAATCTGAATCCCTAGTGGGTGGGTGGGAGGGGTGCACATTTTCTCCTGATCTTTTCCCCGTCTGCCTCTCCTGCTTTTTCTCATGCCAGTCTTCACTCTGCGTTGTTCCCAGGCCAGCCCCTAGGACTTGCCGGGCACAGGGCAAGAGTACAATGGAGCCCACATTCCATTGTCCATACATCAACCTACAAAGTGTTACCAAAATATGTCCCATCCTCCTGCTTTGACACACGTACCTTCACAACGACCTGGAAGGCCAGGTTTGATGCAGAATTCACTGACTCCTGAGAGTTCTGTCCGGGAACATGGGGGCGCCCCTCACCTCCTGCCCACCCCCACTTCTCCTCCCATCCAGGCTCTGATTTACTCCCATGGGTCCAGGCTCCATCCAGAGCCCCACAGAGTCCGATTTTTTTCGGTGTTAAGACCTAGTCTGTTTACTTCCTGTCTGATGAATGGTAGTCCACACACAAATTATTGTGGATAAGAAAATAAGTATCGAGAGAGAGGTAAAGCCTGAGGGGATGTAGTGGGGTTAAGCTGGACATCTGGCCGGAGTTAGGTCATGGATGGCCCTGAATTATGGGCTGCAGGGTTTGGACTGAACATAGTGCGGAGGGTGGAGGGGAGTCCCTGAAAGTGTTGAGCAGAAGAGGGACCAGATTACAGCTGGGCAAGGAGGAGGAAGTGTAGTGGGAGGTGTGGAGGTCAGAGGATGTGTTAGGAGGCTCTGACGATGGCCAAATACTTCTGGTTTACAGGAAATGATGTTCTACAGTGGATCGTCCAGCGACTTTGGATCTCCAATCTGGGTGAGAGCTCAGGCGGAGCTCAGTTACCAAGGACCACTGTGTGTGCACACCGTGTGAGAGTCTCTGGAGGGGAGAAGCTAAATGGAGGCTTAGCCTGTGTCTCTGAGAAATTGACATTTTAATTGGAAAGACAAGGCCTTCCTGTGTAAAACAATCAGAGTCAAAAGTGAAGGCATGATGATTGGGGGACAAAATTGTTGTTTCATACAAAATATCGAGAGCATGTAAACAACAAGGGTAATTGAGGAGGAGTCAGTCAAGAAAGACTTCTTGGAGGGGGTGATGTATACACACACCTGGTCTTGAAAGGAGTGATGCTTGTGAATTGTGGAGGGGAGTTCGGAGGGTCTGCCTTCCTGGAAGGGGAAACTAGCAAGAGCAATGCTGTAGAAATGGAATGAACAAGAAATAGAGTGATAATGAGGGGAAATTGGGAGAAATGATTTCAGCTGAGGGTGGAAGGCAGTGGAGGGATGGGAGTGCATCTGGCGTATTTGCAGATTCCAAGTTTTATCTGGGAGATAGACAATAGGAAGCCATAGGGGATTTTTGAGCATGGTAGTGTGTATGATAATCATATGTAAGCTAGGATGTTTGACAGCAATTTGAAGGGCGGATTAGAGCAGAAAGGATCTGGGGACCAGACTTCCCACTAGAAAAAAGGCTGTTGGTACAATGAGGTACCAAAAATGATCTGGTCTCTGATGGAGGGAGTGGGACATGAAGAGGGAGGGTTGGAGGGGAAGTCTTCCCAAGCCTTGGAGGCCGAGCTATGGGATGGGATGTGGGTTGGATCCTTGGGCAGGGTGGGCCTGGGGGACTGGAGGGATGGAATTCTCTCTTGATGATGGAAAGATGCCTGCTTTCATTGGTGCCTCTGAGAAAGAACCAGGAAGATTTTCCTACAATTAATGCAAATTCAGAAGCAAGGCTATGTTTCCAAACAAACCAGAGGGGTGTGGGAATTAAAGTGAGGTGGGGAGGAGCTGGAGGATCTGGACTTGGGAGGCAGGCAGAGTTGAGCTTGGGATAGAAGTTGATGATAAACATGGCCTCCCTTTCCCTTCTCTCTGAGTGAAGAAGTATCTGTTGGTCAGGCAGAGACATTTTCTTCCTACTTCTGGGGCCGTCTCCAGACCCAAAGGGCCTGAAGAAGCTTCTCTAGGATTTCCCCAGCTGTCACCCCCAACACCTGCTGTGGTCCACCTATGGCATCTGTTAACATTCGGGTTCACTGGCTCTCCTCTGACTTGCTGAGTTGTCATTCCCAGGGGTGGCTGGGGAATCCTCCTGTTAGCATGCTCCCTACTGATACCTGTCCAAAGCCAAGTTCAGGAACCACTGTCCTCACTCCTTGGAGGAAGGGCTATTAGGATGGGGGCATCTCTCCTGGAGTTTGGGGTTTTGTGTAGGGGCTGGACAATGAGCTTCTGCCTTTGGCCTCTGCTCCTAACTCCCATGTCTGATTTGCTTCTTTCCAGAGGCACAGAACTTAGGCAACTTTATTGTCAAGTATGGCTACATTTACCCCTTGCAAGACCCCAAGAATCTCGTTCTCAAACCTGACGGCAGCCTCTACCGATTTCAGGTGAGTTTCGGCCTTGACCTTGGGTGTTAATGTGGGGTTATTCTTATCCAAAAGGATAATTGCTTGGCTTCATATCCTCACAGATCAGGACTTTAGAAACGGTCGAGGGGGCTAAGGTAGTTTCATCTCTTAAGCCACAGGGTTGGGGCTCCAGGGGGTCACAGTGTTTAAGTGTGGTTTCCTGGTTTCTTTTGTAGACGCCGTACTTCTGGCCCACTCAGCAGTGGCCGGCTGAAGACACAGACTATGGTAAACTCCACCCGCCATGCCTTTGGTAGTGCTTAACATGCTGCTTATTTACTCGCTGCATTTTGGTGACATTTGTCTTGCTGTCATCATAACCTTTATGTCAGTTCACATCTGTATTGAGAGTGTTCCCCGGGGAAGGGACCGGGTCTGCTGAGTGTTCTGTTCACCAAGCTGAGCACAGCAGCCTCACACATAGAAAGGCTGCAGATGCCGTTTTGAAATATGACGGCGATAGAAAATGTCATGTCTTCTTTTCCAGCCATCTATCTAGCCAAGCGAAATATCAAGAAGAAAGGGATTTTAGAAGAATATGAAAAGGTACAGAGATACTTTCAAATATAGGTTATTATAATTGAGTGGAATATAGAATATAGTCTTGAGCTGTTTTGTCTTTGTTCCCTCCATTATACATTCATATATACCCTCATCATCCATCCATCCATTCATCCATCCATCCATCCATCCATCCATCCATCTGTCCACCCACCTATCCACCCCACCATCCATCCATCCATCCATCCATCCATCCATCCATCCATCCATCCACCCGTCCGTCCGTCCATCCATCCATCCATCCATCCATCCTTCATCCATCCATTCATCTGCCCACCTACCCATCCACCCATTCATCTATCATCCATCCATCTATTTAGAAGCATCTCGCTGAAGTAAGTTCTTCCCCATGTCAAGCTTCAGTTTTTCCTGCTATAATTTAAGTCCTTGCCTCAGTGGCTACTGGGTACACAGTAGCTACCACCTTCCTTTTGCTGTGCCCAAACAATATGACTTAATTAATATGCACGATAATGTATATTACATGATGAACAGATTTGAATTTGCGTTTGTGATGGGAAAACAATAGTATAGACTTTTGTTTTACTTTAGATGAGTCAGATTTCTTGAACAACAAATCCTAACCCTCAAAAGGCTAAATTTCTGGGCAGATGGCAACAATCTTGCTGTTTTTATTCATTACAAACATGTTTTTAGAACTGCCAGCATCACACCAACACGAGGGCTTATCTTTGTGGATTTATGATGTTCTGTTGTTGCATATTGAGTTTCCATATTCTTCCCCACCCTGTGCCCCTCTTCCTAGTCAGATTTGGGATACATTTATTAAAAAAAATATCCAGGCCAAGTTGTGGCCTTTCTTGTGGAGGCTCTTTGAGAAGTTGGTGCTAGTTGAATGAACACCTTTGCAAAGCTGGGGCGGGAGGCTGTTTGGCCTTGTCTGTGGTTGCATTAGAGCTAGGGGCAGCCTGGGTGACTTAGGGCTTTCTGCACATGGCACATGTCATGGGGGCAGTGTTCTCACTTTATTTTCCTTCTCTAGGAAAATTACGATTTCTTGAACAAAAAAATTAACTACAAGTGGGATTTTGTCATTATGCAGGCTAAAGAGCAGTACAGGTGAGTGGATGGTCATGTTCGTCCTCTCGTTGTCCTTCCTCCCTCCCTCCTTTCTTTGTTTCCTTTTATTAAAATAAACCTTTATTGGGCATCTCTGTGTCCAACATGGGGCTAGACATAAGGACTACAAAGACACAGTCCAGTGGGTTGGGCAGACGACAAACAGGCCATGGTGCTACGGTGAAATGAGAACCACAGCAGAAGGAGCTGTGGAAACGACGTTGAACCTGGAGGCTGCGTGGGAGGTATCCAGGCATGGGGTGGTGCTGGTGGATGGAGAGGAGAGGTTGGGTAGAAGGAAGGGTGTTCTGAGCAGACAGAACCAGAGTGTGGAGGCAGGAGAGTGCCCCCTTGAAGCTAGAGCAGAGAGTGCAAGGCCTGGAACTGGCAGAAGTGAGGCTGAGATGTTGGCAGGAGCAGGTTGTGAGAGGGCTTTGTGCTGAGGGCCACGGGGAGCCACAGAAAGATTTTAAGCAGGAGAGAGATATAATCAGATTCACATGTTAGAACCACCCACAGGCTCTCATTTGCCTGTGTTCACCTCAGAACTGGAGCTGAGAGTCCCCATGAGGGCTCTGCCTGGTCTATGAGAGGCAGATGTAAGTGCTGAGGAGAGTGTCTTGAGTCAGGACGACGTTAGGCTGTCGTAACAAGCAAATGAACCACCAGGTTCATTTCTTACTCATGTTACATGTCCACTGTGGGTCAGCTGGGGCCCTGACATGCTTTGTGTCCACTCCAGGACCCATGCTGAAGGAGCAGCACCGTCTGGGCTTTGCCTGTTGCTAGAGCAGGGGGAGAAGAAGCCCATGTGGGTCACAAGTGATGCATGTCACTTCTGCTCACAGTGCATTATCCAGAGCAGCTCATCTGGTTATGGCTTGGAATTGGAGTAGTGGTGGATTAGTCAGGGTTCTCTTGAGAGACAGAATCAATAGCATGCACATATATATATATAACGAATTAGCTCACGCATTTATGAGAAGATCCAAGACCTGCAGTGGGCAAGGTAGAGACCAGGAGAGCTGATCGTGTGGTTCTGGTCTGAAAGCTGGCAAACTCGAGACCCAAGAAGAGCCAATGTTTCAGCTTGAATCTGAAGGCAGGAAAGGACCAATGTCCCAGCTCAAGGCCATCAGGCAGGAGGAATTCCTTCTTATTTGCAGGAAGATCAGCCTTTTTGTTCTGTTCGGGTCTTCAACTGAAAATACCCTCATCCAAAAACACCCTCACAGACACACCCAGAATAATGTTTCACCAAATATCTGGGTACCTCATGGCCCACTCAAGTTGACACATAAAATAACCACATTTCTTGTTGTCTTCTTGTAGTCTCTGGGCCCCTCCATGTGGTCTAGCCTGGGCTTCCTCACAGCATGGCAGCATCAGGGCCGTCAGATTGCTCACAGGTGGTTGGAGGCTTCAAGGGCAAATATTCCAGTGAGGAGGGTGGCAGCTGTTCCGCCTTTTACAGCCTAGCCTCACAAATCACAGTACCATTTCCGATGTACTCTATTGATTGGAACAGTCACAAAAACCCACCTGGTTTCAAGGGGGTGGAGTAGAGGACATAGATCTACCTCTCAGTAGAAGGAGTGTCAAAGAATCATAGACCTATTTAAAAACCACTACAGTGGCTCTTCCTGATTCTGCATTATAGTATGTTAAACGTTTACTTGTAGCTCATAATGCAGTCTGTAATTTTATATTTATTTCTTGACTATTTATGTAATGTTTAGACCCAAAGCCACTCAAGGGCAGGGAACATGTCTGTGTATTAGCCAGCTCAGGCTGCCTTAACAAAATACCATAGATGGGGTAACTTAAACGATGGACATTTATTTTCCCACAGTTCTGGAGGCTGGAAAGTACAAGCCCAAGGTTCTGGCAGCGTTTGGTTTCTGGTGAGGACTCTCCTCCTGGCTTGCAGATGGCTGCCTTCTTGTGTCCTCACATGGGGGAGGGAGGGAGGGAGAGAGAGAGAGAAGCTCTCTGGTGTTTCCTATTACTAGGGCACTAATCTCATCATAAGGGCCCCACCTTCATGACCTCATCTGATTACCTCTAAACCCTAATTACCTCTGAAAGCCCCCATCTCCAGATGCCATCACATCTGGTAACACATGAGGTAAGGTCCTCAACATATGAATTTCGAAGGGATACAAACATTCAGTCCATAACAACCTGTTTGGTCCACCAGTATACTCCCAGTGCTTGGAATGTAGTGGGAGATCAATAAATAAATGAATAAATGGATGAATAATTGATTGATTAAGTGATACTGTTGCTAAAAAAATCATAATATGACAAACTAAAATAATTCCTTGTTTACTGGCTCTCTTGGATTCCACTCTTCACAACTCTCCTCCAATAACATCTGTCAGAGAAGCTTAGAAGAGCAAAGCCACAAAGGACCATTAGAGTAGATTAGCCATCAACTCTGTTTACAAGGTGTCCAGCGTTATGGAGATTCCACAGTGCCTCAGGCGTCTGTGGCTCATCATCCTGAGGACGTGGGGCAGTTAACCTAGTGGAAAATCCAGTTAGGTTGGCAAGGGGAAGTTGGAGCGACGGTGTTTATATTTAATTTCCAGAGGTTGGCAATACACCCCAATGGAATGGCACTCTTCACCCGTCTGGCCCTCTGGATGCTCTGGTGTTACTCACGATACATTAGCTGGCAAATCAATCCACCGACTGTCTTGTGGAGGGCGTGTGCGTCATCCCACGTTGCCTGGGAAAACAAGCACTACTGAGTGCGAGCGCAGGTCGCTGTGGAAATGGCGGTGCCTGGGGCCCATGGCACCATAATTAACGTCACCTGGCTCCTATAGGAGGAGAGTGTAACATCATTTCCTATCCATAATGGGAAAGGGGGAGACTGAGAGACCAGAGGGAAGATAAATAGCCTTTTGCAATAATAAGTTGGGCTCAGAAAAAACCCTGACTTGGCACGAACTCTTTGAAGTGACGGAGTGGAACTGACAGGTAGAGAGACATGAGGACTCCCTGAGGCCAGCATTTTCCCTGTCACAAGCTCTGGCATTGCTTGCTGCCTGCTTGTCTAGATGTTGATTATGATGTTTATCAAAGCAGGGAAAAATTAAGAAGCCAAATGGTCAAGTGTTAGCCCAGAATGTGATCCACGGTCACTCCAGGACCGAAGTTGGTGGAGGTGATTCGATTCTAGGGCTGGTCATGGTGGCATGACTGCATCGCAGCACAGTGCTCTCCGGCAGAGCTGGCTCTGGGACCAGACCCCCAGTTTAAGTCCTCCTTCTGCTACTTGCTGACAGCGTGACCCTGGGTGGGGCATTCAACTTCTCTTTGCTTCAGTTCTCTGAACTGTCAAGTGAGAAAAGGACACTGGGAGGATTAAATGAGTTAATACATGTGAAAGAATTTCACAGAGTACCTAGCACATAAGTGTGAGACTAGTGTTTGTTATTTTTATTGTTATTATGGCAAATATAGATTACTTGGGTATATTGAGAGAGTGGTCCAGGTCATCAAGAGTGGACCATCAATGAGCAAAAGATGCAAAGTCTTATTGGCCTTCAACATGGCTTTTGGCTTTTCAGGACTGGAAAGGAAAGGAATAAAGCAGACAGGTATGCATTGGATTGCCAGGAGAAGGCATATTGGCTGGTCCACCGATGCCCTGTGAGTATTATCCTTCCTGGCTTCACTCATCTCTTTTTGTGCCTCCCCACCCCCACCTTGTATTCACCATCCCTTTTGCTGGCTCATCTCCCTCTGGGGCTAGAATTGAACCAGCAGGAGGAGCTGCTCAGTGTTGGGTTAGCATCCAAGTGCCTCTTGGCTGGAAGAGGAAATACGCTGTCTGGATGGGGTCTGCTTGTGGTTCATCTGTTGCTGTCAGGACTAAGTGAAATTACCTAAGGGAAGGACCTGCGTGAGTTTGTCTTTTATGAGGGCTAGGACTTTTTTGGGGGAGTCAGGATATCTTGGGAAAGGAATATAAGAAGAAAAAACTAGAACACAGGCTCCAAAGCAGAAAAATAAAATACTATAGAGAACTGACACTCTGCAGAGCTAAAGCCGTGCCTCATGTCTCTTGCTCCCTCTCGTTTTCCTCTTCTTGATCCAGTCCCCAGTGCTGAGATGGGAGGAGATGAGAAGGAATAAGTGTGTGCTAAGCCTCATTGCTTAGAGCAATTGCTTCTCTGGCTTTGGGACTTAGTGGCCTAGAGAGACAAGCTGTACGGAGTGATGTAACTTGTCACGGCTCGTCATTGGGAAATGATGGCCTCATTCTCCAGCATAGAGAAGCAGGCTGTAACCCTCCCTCCACCGTGGTTAACTCTGCTGCCTCAGTTTCCTCCTGGGTCAGACCCCTGTGCTGCCTACGGATCATGGGAGGTGGGAGATGTGAAAGGGATTCTGGAAAGTGAAGAGTTCAAAACAAATATTCTTCCTCCTCCTCCTTTAGTTTCCTTGCCTGCCAGGTAACCGAATTCTCAGAACCAGAGAGTGAACTGGGTCAGTTATGGTGCCAAAGCTTATGGATTTTTGAACTGCAAACCCATTAGATTTTGGCCATTTTGCTTATTTTCTTTCTACGTTCAAAACAGATTCCTGGGGCCAGCCCCATGGCACAGTAGTTAAGTTTGGCACATTCTGCTTTGGTGGCCCGGGTTCGCAGACCTACACCACTCATCAGCCATGCTGTGGCGGCAACCCCTGTATAAAGTGGAGGAAGATTGACACAGATGTTAGCTCAGGGCTAATCTTCCTCAAGCGAAAAAAAGGAGGAAGACTGGCAACAGATGATAGCTCAGGGCTAATCTTCCTCAGCAAAAAAACCCCAAAAAACAAAACAGATTCTTGTAAGGAGTCATCTGTGGGGGCATTGGTTTGGATGACTTCTTGCCAAAGTTAAGGTCCTAAGGTTGATCCCCAAGAAGCTTGTTTGGTTTTGTTTTGTTTTAGCGCTCCTTGTCTAGGTAGGCCAGTTAGCCAATGCTCGACACGGGTCCCTGGGGGCTGGGTGACAGAGTGGATCACTGAGCCCAGGGTCCTGGAGAAACGGAACCAAGCACACGTCTCCCTGTTGGTAGCTCAGGAGTGAGATATTTGTACGAGAAGGGAACTGTACATTGTTTGGCCTGCATTTGGGCATCTGTTCCTAAAGGGGGAGCCTTGGTGAGGATAAGGGCAAATGGCAGATAAGCCACTCATTTGGCAAGATGCCCTGGTGCCCAGTGGCACTGATGACTGAGGGAATCCTGCTCCTCACAGGGTGGAGAATGGCTTCCATATGACCTGCAGAGACCCCGGGGTGTGAGAATGCCAATTTGAGTGCGTTCCTTGCAAAGTGACATAGACTGGCTGTGCACACGATCTGCCCCGGGTCCCTGTCCTCTTCTCTGTCCATGCAACTGGGAGGCCTATAGGGCACAAAATGAGAAACAGATTATCTGAGTTCTCCCCAGTTCTCCTGGGGTAAGCTCTCAGCTCTCACACCAGGCAAATGGCTGAGTGGCTCTTCGTGATATGATATAGAAGTACATAAACATGACAACATGTCTCTGTGACCACTACTTCCACCGTCACCACCCCCTTCACCGCCTCCACCTCCCCCACCTACCCCACTTTTTCCACCTCCATCACCTTCATCACCACCATCACCATCAATGTCATTGTCATCGTCATCATCGTCATCATAATGTCTTCGTGCATTTAAGGCCTTTTTGTAACCTCCTTGGTCATTAGAGCATTGCATGAGTCACTGCTGCTCTAACAAACGTGATGCCAGGGTTCAGATGTGCCTGGTGCCTCTTCGATAGCAGAGTGAGGCTTTGATGTATCCGGAGCAGTTGTAAAACTCCTTGGACACAAAACTGCTCTTCACATCCACTCTCTCCCACTGCAGCTCCCTAAGTCAAAACTGGACCAGTGAGTCAAAGATGAGGCCAGAGTGCCTCCAGATCCTGCTCTTCTGGACTTTCTTAAAACACTCAGCCTCTTGGACGCCTGAGAGGTTAGGGTTAGGAACGTGTTCCGTTTGAAGAGTGTCCTGTTTGAAGTCTGTCTCAGCCTAGAAATTGAGCAATCTGACTGACAAACCGAGGAAGCCCAGGAGCTTAGGGACTGTCAGACTGTCTCCAGGAGACCCAAACAAACTGTCAGTCAGTTCAGTGGGAAAAAAGCCAGCCAGGCAGACAGAGCATTTGGCTCTGTGGAGTGTGGAGCAGTCAATATGTGGACTGACTGTAACCAACTGTTGTGTGGGACACAGCTTGCAGCTACTGAACTGATTCATTCCCCTGTTCATTTGACTGTCCATTAATCCACGAAACCTTCATGGGGCCCCGAATCTGTGCCAGCTCAGAGTTAGGTGCTGGGTGTAAAATAACAGCTAACAGTCATTGAGCACCTACTGTGTGCCTGTGTTAAGCTCTTGGCATGGATGATCCCATTTACCTGCTGATGCTGTGAAGTAGGGAGTATCATCATCCCCATTATTCAGACGGGGAGATCAAGGCTCAGAGAGGTTCAGTAGCTTGCCCAGCGCTGGGATGTGAATCTGCATTTGTCTGGCCTGCTGCTGCTGTGGAAGGTGCATCCACGTGTGGTCCGCTCTCCTAGCTCAAGGAGCTCAAATTTCAAATTGCCATAGTAGATGAGCAGCACTCTCGCAGACATAAGACCTAAGTGCTGAGGACATGCAGCGAGGGGTGATTGATTAAGAGAGGGGGACGGATGTCGTGCCAGGTGTTGTATCAGGGATATCATCACAGGCAGAGGCCAAGGTCAGATGTGGGTGGTGGTGGCTGAGGGATGTGACCCCAACCCCCATTCTGAGCCCAAATGCCACGTATCGCTCAGCATCCTGTAAGGAAGGAAAGTGATGGTCCTCTCCCAGGTTTTACCCAAATGGAACAAAGTACAGATCTGAGCGGGATACAAACAATAGTTAATTGTGTAAATAAACAGAGGGAGAAACAGTTCCTTTAGAAAAGTCATTTTGGGGCCTTCTGTGCATCTTTGCTGCACCATCTGTGACTTCTGTGTCTCCCGAAGACATGGTCCACTGACATGTGGACCATGGATATGTGGAGGATATGGTCCAGGGACAGAGGCTGCCTTTGGCAGTGTGCACTCTAAATCAAGTGGTCACTTGTCTGAATATCAAGATAAGTGGCCTTTGTTTCAACCACAAACACAGACACTCACCAGAGAAGGAGATGTCTGCCTTCCATTTCCTGTTGAGGTTGGACTAAATGTCCAATGATGGAGAATGGTGAAATAAATTAAGATATATCCACAAGATGGAACACTGTGAAGCTATTAAAATAATATTTTCAAAGGCCATTTATTGACCTAGGCAAATGGTCTGACATATAATGTTACATCAGAAAAACAGGATGGAAAACTCCATATACTCTGATCCAAATTACAAAAAATTTGACGTGTATTTGGTGAATGCCCACTCTGTGCCAGAAGATGACTAGGCAATGGGAGTATTTGAATTGTGAGCTGGGACAGACGCGGCCCATGCCCTCAAGGAGCTTACAGTCTGGTGGAGAGACAAAGACTAAAGCTATTGCACAGATGAGTGTGTACTGTACAGAACGCCAGGACAGCTCGTGAGAGCTGGGGGTCCTGCGTCAGACTGGGGGTCTGGGAACACCTCTCCGTGGAAGTGACATTCAAGCCACCATCTGCTTGGAGCCAACTTCTCCAGCCTTTGAATCGAAACTCGTCTTCCCGTTTCAGCCTCATCTCTCTCTCTTTCTCCTGTTTTATTTTGTTTATAAAACGATTTGGTATTTACTATTTGTTTTCTGTCCCATGCACCAAAATGGTCTGAACTGATATGTTAGGGAAGAGCATGATGATGAGAGAAAGAAAGGAGAACAAGAGAAGGGACGGGAGGGACACGGTAGAGTGTCCCCAAGAAGTGTACATTGGCTCTGCCCGGCCCTGCTCTGAATGCTGCTTCTGGGAATGTGGCCTCCTCGTGGAGCAGCTGTTGGGGGTACAGAGGTCCTTTTCTAATCTGAATTATGAGGCATTTAGCAAATTGCCTCTTTGGCTTGTGCCCAAGGGATGTTGTCAGGGCGTCACACCCTTGTATTCACAGTTCCTTCAGTTGAAGGGGAAGGCCTGGTCGTCCCTGGAGGGCTTCCTGCACATGGCACTGGGGCTGAATGCATCTGCATGCCTCCTTATCTGCTGGCAGCCCGCCGCAGGGACGCTGATTGCCCTGTTTTCTGTGCACTGACTGTCAGTTCTGGGTTATCTTCATTCCAGCATCCTCTTGAGTGCCAGAAACTGCAGCAGCAGCAGCTCTGGTGACCATCTGGGCACAAAGACTTTATGTACCTGATGAATGAGTGAATGAATGAATGGAGCCTGGAAGTTTCCCAAACCAGCAGACAGAAAGACAGCCCCCTGGGAAGTTTTGAAGGTAGGGCACTGAGATAGGACCACAGTTTGATCCAGAACAGCTGAGACTTACAGAGATGCCAAGAGGCTGCAGGAGCCCAGGCAGCGGGACAGCCAAAGGAGCGCGCCTGGATGTTCTGTAGAGCTGAGGAAAGCCACGAGGGGCTGGCACCAGACAGACTGGCAGAATAGTAAAGCCCATTGGGTGGCTACAGCTCTGCGAGTCCAAGGCTGTCTGGTCTGGGCAGCTGAGGGCAGCCCTGTGCCGATTACGGTTATGCAGGTGTACTGTTGAGCACCAGGGCAGCCGAATTTATTTCAGAGCTGGTTCAAGTTCAAAGGAAAGAGTTGGAGAACTAATTCAAGACTCGAGCAGACAATCGCACTGAGGATGCTGAGGCAGTGAGCGCCTGTGGAACAGCAGCCAGCCGGGGGTTATAAGGGCACCATGGGCATGGGCTGTGTGTGTGAGTGTGTCAGTGTGTGCACGTATGTATGTGAGAGTGTGTATGTGTGAGACTTGTGAGGGTGCCAATGTGTGAGCATGTGTGCCTGTGTGTGAGAGTGAGTGCATGCTTTTATGAGTGTGAACATGAGTGTGAGTTGTGTGAGGGTGCATGCATGTAAGTCTTTGAGAGTGTGTGAGACAGTGTGTGTGTGTAAGTATGACTGCATGTGAGCGAATGTAGAGTGTGAGAGTGTGTAAGTGTGAGTTGTATGAGCGTATATAAGTGCATGTGAGTGTGTATGTGTGTGTGACTGCATGCTTTTATGAGTGTGAACATGTGAGTGTGAGTTGTGTGAGAGTGCATGCATGTGAGTGAGTCTGAGAGTATGTGAGATGGTGTGTGTGTGTGTAAGTGTGACTGCATGTGAGAGTGAATGTAGAGTGTAAGTGTGAGTTGTAAGTATGAGAGTATAAAAGTGCGTGTGAGTGAGTGTGTATGTGTGTGTGAGGTCTGTCTTCAGTTACCCTGGAGGACTTTCTTTGTACCAGATGGAGGGGCAATTCCTAGAATCCGCGTTAGGCAAAGGCACTGATTCTGATGACCCCGCCCCCCCACCCCCATGCTGGGTTAGATCCCATTGAGGGCTTGCTTCGACTCCTCATTGTCCCTTCATAGCACTTGTCACAACTGTAACTTGTTGTTTGTGTGATTAATTCCTGAGTGGCTGCCTTCTCCAAAAAAGCGGAAGTCCCTTGAGATGCCTGCTGGAGAGGCCTCGAGGCTGAGGTCTCTGTCACATTCACCAGGGCTGAGCACTAAGTCAGCCATAAATATGTGTTGATTGAGGTCCACATGTAACAACAGGGTGAGGATAGCGCTCTCTTTCCCTGTCCTCCTGTAGACCCAATTTTCTGTTTTTTTCTTTTTTCTCTTCTTTGCCTGGGCTGTATGCCCAGTATTTGCCCCTATGGTAGCCCACTAAGCTAAGTTGCCAGATTTAGCGAATAAAATAGAGCATGCTACGTTAAATATGAATTTCAGATAAACAGCAAATGATTTGTGTCCCAATATTTTTATACGTGTTGTATATTTATATGAAAAAACATATGGAATATATTTTTATATGAAATTGTATATCAAAATGATTTGTTGTTTCTCTGAAATTCAGACTTAGCTGGGTGTCATTCATTTTATTTGGCAACCCTGCCTCTGAGCTAAAAATGTGCCTGATCACGTTGACGAGGCTGAATCTGTTGGGGAGAAAGCCCAGTTGCTTCCTGCCTCTGCTGCAGTGTAGTCAGTCTGGTTTATGACATGTGTTGAGCACTTGATGAGTACCTGGCACCCAACTAACAGAGAGGGAAGTGAAAGACCCAAATTGCTGGCCTCAAGGAATTGAGAGAGACAAAGCAAGACTGGCTGGAGAGTTGACTGCCCGATGGAGAAGGGAGCTGACAAAGACTGAGGCCCAGGTTTGAGCCAAGCCTTTACATACATGATCTTAGGATGAATACAAGCCCTTGCTCAGTAATAGCTACCCTCTGTTGAGAGCTTCATAGCCTATCTTGTTAAATCCTCACAAGAACCTGACAGGTAGGAAGGATCGTCTCCATTTCTCAGAAGGGGTAGAGAGTGCAGAGAGGAGAAGTAGTTTCCAAGATCTTCCTCATAGCTAGGAACTGGCAGAACCAGGATTAGAACCCAGAGGTGCTTGACTGAAGCCTGGACTCTCTAAAGCACTGCACTGTAGGGTGGGGAAGAGCACTGTGGGAGGAGTTAGGAGTCCCATGTGCTAATCCCAGTGAACTCTTATTGAGTTTGAGTGTCATCCATCCATCCATCCATCCATCCATCCATCCATCCATCAATCCATGCATGCACCTATCCACCCAAACACCCATCCACCCACTCACCCACCCAAACACTCATCCATCCACCCACCCATCCATCCATCCATCCATCCATCCATCCATCCATCCATCCATCCATCCATCCATCCGTCCCACTGTGTTAAGTTCTGGGGATGCCATGGTGGCAAAAGAGCCCCATGAAGCTCACCAGCTCACCCAGAGGGTCTTACATACCCTTGTAGCTCCCTGTGGGCTAGGCCACAGCTTAGTCTCACAGTTGGCAGCTTAGCCAAGACCCAGAGTTAATCAGAAACTGGAGACTCTCCCAGTAGTGGTCCTTATGTTGTTTTTATTCCATTCAGCCAGGAATGAACAATGTGCTGGACTATGGCCTGGACCGAGTGACCAATCCGAATGAAGTTCAGGTAAACCAGGTAAGTCCCTGCTGCATACTTTGGGGAGGGGCTAGGTCAAGTTCTTAGGCTGGGAAGGTGTCCACATGTCTATTATCTATTTGTGTCTGTTAGCACAATGGTATCTCCTCTTTGAGACTACCAAAGAGAGGGCAACTTTGGGCTCTGTGATGTCAGTGTCGGGGAGTGGGGAGGCCATGGCAAGGGTCTTGGGTAGAGAGAATGTAGAGTGCAGGTCATAGAAAATGGGATCTAGATAGTTTCCAGACTTTTCTGAGTCACTCACCCCTTTGAAAATCTGATGAAAGTTATGAACCATTCCACCCAAAGATGCACAGACAGACGTTTTGCACACAATTTCAGCCAGTTCCCTGACCCTCACAAGACTATAGTCTCCAGGCTCAAAATCCTTGAATCAACTTTGGGTTTCAACCTTAACCCACATGACAGGAACTGGAAGGCCACCCTTTCGTTTGCATCTTAGTGAGGTGGGATCTTTGCAAAGATTCTCCTATGCTTTTTGTTTTAAAAGGACACTTTTCCCAAATAGGCTACCATTTATGATGGATGGCAAATTTCCTGTGATGGCTTTTTATTTAAAGAAATGCAGTTCATAGCTGTGGAAACAGTGAGCATCCAGGTTAGGGTTTCTCAACCATGGCACTATTATTTGGGCCAAGTGATTCTTTGGGAGGCTGTCTTGTGCACTATAGGTTGTTTAGCAGCATCCTTGGCCTCTACGCACTAGATGCCAGGTATCTCCATGCCTTTCCCTGCCTGTCAGGACCTTCCCAGTCCTGACCATCAAAAATGTCTTCAGACGTTGAATGTGCCGTCGGGGGGCAAAATTGCCCTGGTTGAGAACCACTGATCCAGGTAACTAGCCTGGAAACCATTTACATTAGTCTTAGATGGTTTCATTGCTTTCTGTCTGGCATTGTCTTTGGGCAGCAAGGGGTCAGGGATCTCGTTAGCTTAGTGTGTCATCTCTCAGCTTTGGCAGTACCTTAGGCCTGGGTGGGAGCTGGGAGGGATATACCGGGAATGAGGAAGAAGGAAGCTGAAGGGGAAGGAGGAAGGAGCAGGAAAAAGGTGGTGAGGCAGCTCTGAGACAATGTGTACTTTTGTCCACTGAGACCTGGAACTCAAGACGGCTATGGGAACCCCCCACCAGTGCGTGAGACAGAGGCCCAAGTTTAGGGATGGAGGCCATGTGGAGAGAGACGCCGAGTCCCCAGAGGGCGTCACCCCGGGGAATCACTAGGTCCCTTGTCCACAACTCAGAATGACCCTTCCTTTGATATGCATGTGGCACTGTCAGCCTTTAGCGGCCTTTTCTACTTCCCCTCGTCAGATGACAGATAATTGCTGAGGCCTTGTCTGCTTGGTTGCCATGGAAACAGAATCATCAAGGAAAATACTGAACCCCGGGTGGAAGATTTGCTTTTTCTATGGATAACAGGCAGCTCTGGCAACCTCTCTGGTGTGGAGGAGGGGAGGGTAGAGGTGGAAAGAACATCGGTCACTCTGACCACAGCCAGCCAGGATGTCGCTCGTGTGTGTGTGTGTGTGTGTGTGTGTGTGTGTGTGTGTGTGTGTATGTGTCTTAGTAAACGGAGGGGGGACCTTTAACTTCAGCTCTGGGAGGACAGCTGAGGAGCCCAGCTGCTCCTTCCTTGGTGCTACTTTGGGGTAGCTTCCAAGGAGTGTGGCCAGAGGCCCCCTCACAGAGAAAGCATCTCAGGCTCACCGGCCGTCAGGCTAGGAGGAGAACGTGCCTTCGGCTTTCAAGTCCATTTCTTGCCAGATGCTGGCAGTGCTCTCGGCCCAGTCAGAGCGCATGAGACCGAGGGCCGTCTCCCCCGTGATGACGGGTGATGTTGGACATGGGGTGTGCTTCCTCTCTGTTGACCATTATCTTCTCTGTCTCTCTCTCTTCCGCAGCTCTCTTTCTCCTGTCTGCACTCTGGCTGCTGTGGAGCATTGAGAAGAATAAAGAACCGTAATTCTCATGCAGGGGCTCCCCCCAACCCTCCCCTCGGCCAGCCTCAGCTGGTGTGTCAGATCCAGCTGTTAGGGAAATGGAGGCTGGGTGTTTTATCTGTCTGCAGCATTTCCCACAGTTCGACTAAGGGTCCCCTGTTTTTCCATGAGGGGAGAGGAGAGGGTTGCGAGAACGTGAGGTGTCTCCATGAGGCCCTGGGAGTGCAAAGGTTTCAGATTTTTGTCTCCTTTCAGAGAAGAGCTCACAGTGCTGGTTTGAAGAGAGAGGCTATTTCTGAGACTTACTAAATTCTTGAAAAGATATCTGTTTTCCTTAAATGAAGGCAAATAACCCCAAAGAAATAAATACCATCAAGTGTGAGAAAAGAGGCTGTTATGTTGGCAGATTTCTAGAGCCCTGGGTGACCCACTTCCTCAGGCTGATGGCTGCTGGTCGGTGTGGCTGCCCAGCCCTGGGAGGAACCGACCAGGGGCCAGGGGTCACACCCAGAGAGCGTGTCCTCTCTCAGTTCCCATTCCTTGAGGCATATGGGCGTGCCAAGTATGCAAACCGCCACCTTCCCTTTATTTCAGAGAGAGTCTGGCCCTGCAGTGAGGAGACTGAGTGGTGGCGGGGCTCTAGCCTGGCTGTGGGCAGTGGTGTGCCCCGGGCTGCCCCTTCTTCCCTCAACCCCGACAGGGTTACCATGGTCATTTTGTGATGAGGGTCAGTGGGGTGTGCTGAAGAGAGCTTTGACATCGGAATGAATCCCGGCTCTGCCACTCCCTGGCTGTGTGATCTTGGACAAGATCTTGACCCATTCAAAGCCTCAGGTTCCTCATCTATAAAATGGGCATCGCCGTAGTTCCTTCCTTGGAGGATTAATTGAAATCATGTATGCGAAGTGTCTAGAATGGTATCCAATATGTACAGATGCTCTACAAATAGTAGCTATCATTGTTGTTATCACTGTCACCATGCTGAGAGAGAGAGAATAGACCCTAGACCCCAGACCCCATTTTCGAGGGCTGTTCCTAGCCAGTCTCCTCTTCTGTTCTTACACTTTCTCATACTTCTGCCCTGTTTGGAGGGGGAGGGAGGAAGATACACACCAACTCCAGCCTCCCTGCCTCATCCAAACAGCTGCTGAGAACGGCAGTTTACACAGTTTTGGGTAAAAGACAGGAATGTGGCTTCACCGTATCAAATACCCTGCTCTGCACAGTCCTCAGCCTGGAGCCATCAGTGAGAGAAAGCCCCCCATACACTCTCACCAACAGGGGACAAACAGCTTTCTTCTTGTGGCTCTTGTGTGACTGGCGCTGGCTAGGAAGGGACGACTCTAATGGCTGACTATTTGCTGACCGCTCTGTATGTGCCAGGCGCGGGGCTAAGAGCTTGACACCCGTCACAGCCCAGTTAAGACTCACCTCACGAGGTAACGAGTATCACTAGCATCTCTATTTCACAGATGAAGAGACGGGCTGGGAGAGTAGAACCTCCTCCAGGACACACGGCTCGAACTGGCGAAGCAGCATTTGAACCTCAGCTGGTGGGCACCCGAGCCCACTCCATATCCTGCCTGATGTGTTCTGTGTCCATTATGTGGCTTCTAGAAGCTTTGCTGGATTTCATTAAATGCTTACAGCAGCTTGGTAAGAGAGGTAGTGTCAGTTCCATATGTCATGTAACGAAACAGGAACAGAGAAATTGAGCCCAATTTGCCCAAGCTGGCCCAGCCGGGATTCACATGTAGGCCTTCCTAGTTCTACAGTTCTTGCTCTTCCTTGATATCACTCTTATCCTCCTCCCCCCTTGCCCCGAACCATGCCCTTGGGTCCTGCACCCAGGGCCAGTTTCTTGGGCAGGTGACCTGTTCACTGGCCCAGGGCTCCACACTCAGCAGGGCCCCACACTTGTTTTCATGTTCCCCTGTCACTGTCTTAAAATTCTTAGTACTTTTTTTTCCACTTTGCACTGGGCCTGCAAATTGTGTGGTCCGTCCTGCCTCCACCTGATTGGGAAGGACGTGGGAGGACAGATGCTCACTTCAGATGGTCACAACCTGGAATTTTCGTCTCCTTGGCCAGCTCGCTGCCTCCCTTCTCTTTTCCTGTCTGCCTTGCGTTAACCCCTTTAGTTCCCGGATTTCCAGGTTTCTGACGTTTGACCCTCTCTCTGCTCTCAGCGCCCCTGTGTTGCCGGATTCCTCATCTTGCATTTCACTCTGGCTTGCCCACCCTCACCTCTGTTTCTGCACGATTCCTGCCTGGCTGCCTGATCCCAGGGTCCTCACTTAACCCTCCTCTGCGCTCCTGCACTCCTGTCTGCAGTGGCCCTAGAGCATGGCCCTGACCCCTCCTGCCCTGTGACAATTGTTTGCAGCCTGCATCTGGGTTTCCGGGTCAACAAGCTGCCCCAGAGCTGTGTAAATAAGCTTTAGATGTGTCCCTATTTGGGCAACTCTGCAAGCGAAAAATAATAAGCTAGAATTCCAAGAATGCAGAGCATTTGAAGATTCCTTAGGCAGAGTATCTTACTTTAGCAAAGTGTGTCACTCAGATGAGGAATAAAGAAGTGACTTCACTCCAGGAGGGCCAGCTGTTGAGAAAGCAGCGGATTTGTGCATGAATTCCAGGGTGAAAAAATGTGTTTCTTATTTTATCATGAGGTAGTTTTCTTTGAATTGCTTAGAAATGTGCATGCACGTGCGTGTATTTTTTAATTACTTCACTTTATTTTAAATTAATATTTCTTATGGCCTTGAGCTAAATAATAATAAGATTGATAGGTTTATGAGATTTGGCAAATAAAAACACAGGATGTCCAATTAAATTTGAATTTCAGTATACTGCAAGTAACTTTTTTTAGTGTAAATATGTCCCAAATATTACATGGGCATCCTGTATTTTATCTTGTAATTAGGGCTAAAACTGTAGCATTCATATTCTCAGCAGCAGTATATGAACCCTAATCAATGCCACTGTATGTTGAGTCTCTGCTGTGTGCCAGTCACCTATGTCTATTATCTCATTTAATCCCTTTTTTTTCTATCTCCTTTTATGAATGAGGAAACAGAGGCTTTGAAATGCTAAATAACTCATCCAAAGTCAGGTAGCCAATAAGTGAAAGAACCAGGATTTTGACCTTGGTCTGATCCTAAAGCTGTACCCTTTCCTAAGCCTTTCCCACCCCTCCATCAAATTCTCTCCATCTTTTAGAAGAGTCCAGAACCCTCTCCCCCACAGCTCTAATACACCCCTAAAAGGACAGGGATCCTTGCTTGTCAATCTAGAGGAAGCTGATCCCATGGAAAGCTATTTTTAAAGCTAGAAATAGATGCTAAAATCCATGTGGACAATCCAAGATGGAGATGGAGAAGCCTCAGATTCAGCCAAATCTGCTGTAGTTGTCGGATGATTCTGGGAATCAGACAACCAACAGCAAACCATACCACCAAGGCAGAGTCCGAAAAGAGGAATAAAATCAAGTGAAGTGAATAAAAATATCAAAAATTTTAAAACCCTGAAGACTGAGATAATGGCGCTAGAAGCAAATATATTAGGCCAAAGTCAGATCGTGCTAAGTAGACTAGAAATGAGTGTGTGTGTGACTGACTTACAGGGCCGGCTCCCCGTGAAGTCCAGAGAACATCAAAGCAGACTGAGAATCTGGCTCATTTTATCTGTGTTCGTCCACTCAGGAGCCCATGGTCACAGCACAATGGCCAACAGGAAGCTTTATCCTGCGTCCTGGGCATTTTGAAGGAGGGTATTTATGATGCTGGCTCTGAGCCTAGTGCAATTGCGGTCTTTACCTTCATTAGTGTTTTTTTCCCAGCTTTATTGAGAGATCATTGACGTATAACATATGTAAGTTTAAGGTGTACAATGTGATGATTAGATACATATATATATTGCAAAATGATTACCACAATAAGGTTAGTTAACACTTCTATCGCCTCACATAATTAGGATTTTTTATGTGTGTGTGTGGTGATAACATTTAAGATCTACTCTCTTAATAAGTTTCAAGTATACAATACAGTATTGCTAATTATAGTCACCATGCTGTGCATTAGATTCCCAGATCTGATTTATCTTATAGCTGGGAGTTTGTTTTACCATCATTAGTGTTAATTAAAGAGTGTTTCCGGTGTTTGGGTTTCATTTGTGATTGGGCCTCCAGCTCTCCTTTGGTTTTAATTTTAAATTAAATGGTTGGACAGAGTCATTCCATTCTGTAGCGTACTCAGCTTCAGGGCAAGGAAGGAGTTGGTGATGAGAGCAGGCTATTTTCTGTTTCTCATGGGTCCTTCCTCAGCTTTGTAAAGGGCAGATCTAGGTTTGAATCTTGGCTCAGCCAATTACCAACCAGGAGATGTTGAGAAAATTGCCCGTCACTTCACAGGACCCCGTTTCCTCGACTAAAAATCAGAATAATAAAACCTTCCTCCCTTAAATTTGTAAGGTTCAAAAAGGGGTCAATTTGCTTTGCATTAATTACTAAGTGGTCATTATTATGAAGAAGTCCAGCTTCCGCTTTGAGTAGAGGGCATAGAGCAGTAGATGCTATTCTGAATAATGTACTTCCCCATGACTCTAGCAGAAGACTCTGACTATGTTAGATTTGAATGCAAATCCACTCTGACCCCAGGGTCCTTTTCCGCCTGAAATTGTGTCTTCTAAAACAGTGTCTTAGGGTGGGAGAGAATGGGAACAAATAATCAGTGTGGTTGCCAAAATATTTGAATCATTTGGGGAGTGTTTTCAACTTTTTAAGTGGAAAAGTATTCTATTAAGTTTAGACTACATCTCCATTTTCCTAGACCTCTGAGTGCATGGCAAATGCCTTTTTTTTTAAATATTTATTGAGCATCTACTCTGTACCACGCATCATGCTAGGGAAGATAGACGTAATAGCCCTGCCTAGTGGGTCATATGTGTATTAAGCAAAGAGTCACACAAACAAATGTATAATTAGAATTGTAATAAGTGCTATGAACGAGGAAGTCAGGGTGTGTGCGAGTCCAAAACAGAGACCTGGCTGAGCTTAACGTTTCTGAGATAACTCTCCCTGCTCCTCCACCCAGGAAAAAGGATTTTCTGTGAAGAGCGATTGTATAAAAGCAATCTAATGAAGGAGAATGAAAGCCAGCATGGATTAGGAAGGAGAGACGAGTGTGAGACATTTCGGATTGGACGTTCCTTCATTCCTGGTCGATGGACTCTGGGCCAGTACTTATTTTGCTAACTGGCTAAGGGAAATAGCATTTTCCTTGGACTTCTAACTCTATTCCAAGTGAAGACTTGGTAGTGTTAAGCAGCAAGGATATTAGCAGCCAGGAATTAAGATGATCAACTTAAAGTATAAGAGTCGGCACCAAGCAGCCCCTGGACACAACCAAACCTAGGAAAACTGGGACTAGAATCAGCAACTGTGCCAACCTCCAAGAGTTGCGTGGGGCAGAAGAGTGACACCAAGGGAGCATATCAGATTGTAGAAGATTTTAGTAGGAGATGGGTCTGAATGATTTCCAGGAGCTTCTAAGAGCCTAAACATGGAGCCCCTCTTGGAGCCATCCTTTCTCTGCTGTAACTCAGCAAGTCCAGAGAGAGGGTGCTCTGTAGCTCATCCCCAGCATGAACTTGCTTTCGTGAGAGGATGAGCCCCATATGATCTTCCACATTACAGCTCAACTCTGGGACTCAGCTTTCAGTGGATACTGGTCTCAAGTCTTTTAATTATGTGCTTGATTTTGGGCAGTGTGGCTTTTTTTCCCAACTTGTGGTATGGGTCAGGTTGTTATGAATACTGAGGAATGAATCTCACCATTCATTCAGAGCTCTCTCCTGTGAGAAAAGGAGCAAACACTCCAGCTCCATGCTAGTTTCCCCATCTTCATCTCTCAGTCCGTATAAGATGGTTCTGTAGGCACAATGGTAGATTGGGATCAATCCCAAACCTAGTCTTTAACACATCTTGGCTTTTAGGAGAACAGTGTAAAGTTGTGGTGGTGAATCATAGCCCTTCCCTCACCAAGGCTCTTAGTTGATCTGATTCTCCAGTGGTTGTGTAGAATAGAGTGGAGGTGGTGGTGATGGGGAAATTCTATCTTTTAAATGAGAAAAGATGGACAGTTTTATGGGGAAGGATTTTTATTTTTCAAATGGGTATTTGAACTGTAATGATTTAAAGACATCTGTTTAATGCCTTTTGCTTCTTTGTTTTACAGAAACAAACAATCACTGCGGTCAAAAAAGAGGTAATCAGTCCCCCAGTTCCAGGGAAATTTGATTTTAAATTGGCTAACAAATTATATGTGCTTTGGCTTTATGCTCTGCACTCAGAATGAAATGAAAACCATGTGTAATGTTCAAACAATTGTTTCCAAATTAATGGACAGCACGAATGACAAAGCATCTTTTGTAAGATCTGAATGGGACTGATGCTGCGAATCAGGATCTGAAACAGTCTCAGGAGGCACAGATCTGAGGGATGTGGGAGCTAGTGCTGCAGTGTCTGCGTCCCCACCCTGGCCCTCCTCCTCTAGTTACAGGGCCATTTAGAATGTGTCCAGGGTGGGGCCTTCCCTGTTTGGCAAATATTGTATCCAGGGCCCTGGAACAGACTGAGCCCGGGGAAGACAGAGCCCTGGGAAGCATTGGCCATTGGGGTTAGACCTGCTTTTGGCAGAGGCATGTGAGGGAAAAGCTAAGCATCTATCCCCATGTCTTTGTTTAATGCTTCTTAAAAAATTTTTTTATCATTTGGTGCCTTTTCTCAGGCTAACACATGATGGGTTAAGGAGGCCCTTTATTTGGAGTTTGGGGTCACTTTCTACAGTGGGCCTGCACCCTGTTGGTACTGAGGTGGCTGGCTTGAGGGAATGGATTGGGGTGCTGTGATGGTTAAATGGCTTCTGGTTCTGGAGGCCTTATGTATGTGTCAGTGTTAGTGACACTCATGGGTGGGGAAGTTGGATATCTTCTAACAACTGTGTCTCTTGCAGATCATGTATTACCAGCAGGCCTTAATGAGGTCCACGGTGAAGTCTTCGGTGTCCCTTGGAGGGTATGTCCCTGATGTGTTGGTCTTGCTAAGGTTTGAACAGTAGGTTGACAAGAGAAGAACTTCTGCTTGAAGGCAAAGTTGAAGGTCATGGCCTGACTTAAGATCCTAAAGGATTCTGAGGGACAAAACCAGTCTCTTGGGGGTTAAGTTCCTAGTTCTTCACTCACCGTGAGTCTCCAGGTCTCATCTTGGGTTAGGCAAAATCAGGGGTGAGTGAGGTTCTGTACAGGTCTGTTGTCTTTCTTGGAATCCACTAACGTATGAATGGGGAAGGTGGGAAGAGTCAAAAGTTCATGGACTAGAGCCTATGGGGATCCGTGATAGCCTGTGTTCCTATCATTACCCACTCAAATTTGTTAGGGATGTGTAGATTATGTTTACTGGTTCAATGTACTGTTAAAATGTCCATCATTAATTTTTGATTTAAAATCCAATTAGGGTAAATTGGAAATTTATGTTTGATTTATTGAACATTCTGGCTACCCTGATCCAGTCCCCCACAAGACATTATTTGGGAGACACAAAAGGGGTTAGTGTCCCCCAAATGTAAGCAGTTATCCTTTTGAAATGTGAAATTCATTTTGGGACCGCCTTATTGACTCTGAGATTTTTCTGCACACATGAAAATGGACTTGGCTGATTCCTGGGGAGGCACAACGTGACAAATCATTTATTCTGACTGTGTGAGACACGGGGAGTGGTACTGATCAAGATGGAAGATGCTGTGATTTGTCCAGTGCCTTTCTTCCAATGCTGTTAGGAATTAGGCTCTTGTAAAAACCTTCTTGTATCTTTTTACATCTTCCCAAATCCCTAGTTTGCAAAAATACTGCCTGCCTGAGATAATGTGCCCGGACCTCACTTGCATTTTTCAACCACTTCTGTCTACTGCTGCTGAGCTGGTCACAGATGAGAGGGCACCGTGCACTCAGCGGGCATCCACTTTGGGTTATAATGATACTCATTTTTCTGTGATAATGTCACAACTGCCTACTCTGATGTTCCAGAAACCCAGCTTCGTGAAACCAAACAGAAAAGATAATGAAGGAGACTCAGAGGCTATTGGATGCTTCTTAGACCCACTTTCCAATTTTTATTTGTCTGAGAGCCTCATTACCCATAATTTTGAAATCATTAGTGTTTGGACCTGTGGGCGAGTTTTTTTTTCCTTCTCTTCCGCTTCTCCACTCTAAGGGTCTGATTGAAGAATAAAAGAGTCTTGGGAGAAATTAAGCCAAGGGGCTTGAGTTCTGCACAGAATGCAAACCCAGTGCTCTGGTTTATCTCTAGGGCATCAAAATCCTGTGGCCGTGGGCAGGCTTCATGGCAGATGCATTATGTGTATACCTTGGATGCAATTCCCCACCTATGGGGTGCAGGCCTGGCGGGGTTTTCCAGACTGCCAGACCACCAGGAAATGTGTTGACTCAGAAGGTCTAACTCAAATAGAAGGAATTAGTTCTTGCCCACCTTTGTGAGTGTGGGATTCATACCTCGATGAGACCACAGGTTTTGAATAGTGGGTCTAGGTTCCCACACCTAGGCCTTATCCTGACAAAGGGTGCAACCCAGTGAGGCAGCAGAATCTCAGCGAGTCCATGGCAACCTCATGCTTCCAAGATGGCGCCGAGACACCTGTTTGAAGACGTGCAAACTGTGTTGGCTTTGAATTTTGAAAATTCATGATAAAATGTGAAGAGGCCATATTTTAATGAAATAGGTACAGAGATACTACAAAGGGACTTGGTTGGGAGACAACATCGCATTTCACAAGTAGAATAGGGACAGATCTTGTCAAATTCCCGCCAATCTCAAGGGCCGTTAGAGCATTTTTCTAAGAAGACAGTAATAAGTATGTAACTAAATCGATAAAGGGAAAGGAGGACAGGCTGGTCAATCAACCTGAGTGTTGATTTAGTCTCTTGGGTGTTGAACTTCTAAGAAATCGTTTTCCATTTGCTTTTCAGGATCGTCAAATACAGTGAGCAGTTTTCATCCAATGATGCCATCATGTCAGGCTGCCTCCCCAGCAATCCTTGGATAACAGATGACACCCAGTTCTGGGATTTAAATGCCAAATTGTATGTATTTGATATATTGGTTTTTTTAATAGCTTTTTGAGTTATAATTAACGTGCCATACAATTCACCCATTTAAAGTATATAATTCAATGGTTTTTACTATATTCATAGTCATGCAACCATCACCACAGTCCATTTTAAAACATTTTCATTACCCAATTAAGAAAGCCCATGCCGTTGAGCTGTCTCCCCCCAATACGCTTCCAGTTCTAGGCAACCACTAAACTACTTTCTGTCTCTATGGATTTGCTGTTCTGGACATCCCATATAAATGGAATCAAACTGGCTTCTTTTGCTTAGTATAATGTTTTCAGGTTCACCCATGCTGTAGCATGTAACAATACTTTGTTCCTTTTTATTGCTGAAGAATATTCCATTGTATGGATAGACCACATTTTGTTTATCCATTCTTCAGTTGATGGACATTTGGGTTGTCTCTGCCTTTTAGCTATTATAAATAATAGTAATTAAGCTGTTATGAACATTCATGTACAGGTTTTTGTATGGACATATGTTTTCATTTCTCTTGGGTGTATACCTGGGAGTGGAATTGCTGGGTCAAATGATAACTGTTTAGCAATATATTGTTTTTGAAAAGAAGATAATCATCTTTATGGCTTTGCATGTTGGTATCTAATTAGAGTCAGGATGAGTTCATGGAGGAAGGGCCCTGAACCTGCCTTGACAATTACACCACTTGCTCCTTGGATCTGTTGGTGAATTTTGAACAGTTATTGCTGCTGACTGGGCCTGCATAAATCTCTTGTTTGGAAGAGGGGCAAAGACAGAAATGCAGAGGGAGAGTCCAAACTAACAAAGGAAGGAAGAAGAGAAGGGCATAGATGTCAAGTCAGAGGGAAAGGTAGAGGAGAGGGAGAGGGGAGAAGGGGCTGGTATGAGGGTATAAGACCACAGCTTAGGTCAATGCCAAGGCCATCACCACCTGAGCCGTGAGGAACATACAGGTAGCACAGATCCAGCCGGGTAAGCAGGGACCCCTTTCACCTGTCCATGTAGCCTGCTGTGGGCAGCTGAGGGGTTACAGAGGGCACTCCTCTGGGCTTTGGGGTCACTTGTCTACTAGTGTCAACTGCAGAGCTGAAGACTCTAGAACCACCTTCTGGGGAGTCTTCCCTCCCTCTCTTGGGGCTCTAGTTATTAGGATGGTTTTCTGGAGCCTATGCCTGTCTCCCAGTGTGTCAGATAAGAGAGGTGAATCTCCTTGTGGACAAGGTTGGGCAGAGTTTGACTCTCCATGGAGAAGGCAGAGCCACCTGGCTGAGAAAAGGGTTTCCCGGGAGGGCTTGGGAAGAAGATGTGGGCAGCTGCTGGATTTTAAATGAAATGGAGAGCATGGTCTAGACACGAGAGGTAGAGATTTGCTGGTGAAAAGAAGAGGGGTGATGGTTTTATGTAGGAGCCATGATCAGAGGGGACTCGGTGGATGTCAAATGAATGCCCCATTCAAAACGGGAAGTCTTCTTAATGGTTTAGATTTTAGAGCAATATTAAAATTACCTAGGAAGCTTAAAAAAGCAAGCAAAAACCAATGTCCAGCCCTTACCCCGGAAGCCTCTTATTTGATTGGCCTGGGTTACTCCCTCACCCCCAGCAGTGGTTTTTAAAAGCTCCCATTGATTTTAATGAGCAGCCAGGGTTCACAAGACTGATTTACAGCTTTGGCCCCAGAGTGGGCCCCGGACCAACAGCATCAGCATCCCCAGGGAACTTGTTAGAAATGCAGATGCCTGGGTCCCACCCTGAATCCAGACCCCTACTGAATCAGAAACTCAGGATGGGACCCAGCAATCTGTGTTTTAATGAGTCTTCCAGGTGATTCTGGTGCACGCTGAAGTTTGCATACCGCTGTTTTACTCCAGGCTCTGCTTCTACTGTGTGAGCCTGGCCAAGTATTTAACCTCTCTGAGCTTTGGTCTTCTCAGACATAAAGTGGGGATGACAATATCCAGCTCACGGTGTTCTCGTAAGGATCCAATGAGGGATGCGTAAAGCATGGTGCCTCACGAATGGTGACACTCTGTAAATGGCAGCTGTTAATGTTACTGTGGTTTTCTTATTGTTTTCACGCTGTCATTAGGGAAAGTGTAAACTTGCTTGGCTGACGTTAGATCCCATAGACATGAATTGTACCTGGTCACGGTTCCAGCTTCTACGTCAGTGGGAAACGTGGTGTTACGGACTTGGAAACCTGTGTTTCCAAAGGGCTGTGTTGGGTTACAGAGAAGTCCATTAGGAATAGGAGAAAAACTATTTTCCTGATTTTCTGGAATGTTAGACCTCAGCTAGCTGGGCTCGAATGGCCTACCTGGGATCAGGGAGACCTTTCAAAACATGGGAGTGGAGTGGGACTTGCATCTTAGAGGAAGCTCTGGGACAGGGTGCATAGATGACAAATAGCGTCTACTGGGGGCGTATGGCCTGACACAGGTACAGGAGGAACCGCCCGATGCTGGTCTGTCCCATGGGGAGGGGCAGCTGTGCGGTCGGTGGGTGACAGGCAGTGGCCACAGCGCCCGTAGTCTGTGCTGTCTGGAATTCTCTCCTGGTCTGGTGTGGCAGCCTGACTCAGCTGGCCTGTCTCCACAGGCCTGGAGGAGCTATTCGTGTTCTTTTGCCATGAAGGCTAAGGGAGCGGCCAGAGTGGGAGGCTCTCCTTGTGGGTGTCCTTCTCACCTTTGGAGTGGCCAGCTCCTGATACGAGGCCCAGGGGACTTGTCCGAGGCTGTATTTTCCTAGCAAGTGATGACTTGGGTTGTACGTTTGTGCAGGGATGGGGAGGGGGGGTTGGAGTGGGTTGAGCCCTGGGCTGTGGGATTAATGGAGATTACAGGGCCTAAGGCCCCCACCCTGACCCAGACCACCGCCCAGCACAGTGCCTCCTCTCATTGAGTGTCTGGTGCATTTACGAATCATCGTCCTTGCAGGGTGGAGATCCCAACCAAGATGCGGGTAGAGCGATGGGCCTTCAACTTCAGTGAATTGATCCGAGACCCCAAGGGTCGACAGAGCTTCCAGTACTTTCTTAAGAAAGAATTCAGTGGTGGGTCTTTGATTTTTTTACTAAAATTTTTACTTTCAGAAACACTCCTGTAATGTCTAGCAGAGGGTTTCAAGGATTGCTCAGCAGATGTTTTCACACCTTTGCTTGTGCGTGCTCTTAAACAGGCGCTTCTCGGACCCGTCCCTTCCATCGGTTCCAAGAGGTTCCGCAGCCATCTGCTCACCAAATCCACGTTAGCATTATTCGCGTTTCCAAGGGCTCTGTCCCCTCTGGCTGTCCTCGCCTCAGGTCACCAGCCCCAGAGCTCCTGCCTCCCTTGCCGCTAAGGGTAGCTCCTCAGGGAAACTTGACAAGGAGGGAAGCGGAGAAAAGCTTTCTCTTTTTGTCTCACAGCCTGGTTTTCTTCACCTCGGTGCTTCTCTCCCCTGGCTGCACATTCAGTTCACTTGGGGATATTTTAAAACACGTTTGCCTGGATCCCATCCCCAGCGGTTCCTTTTTTATTGGTTTGGGGTGGAATCTCCGAAGTTTTGCAAACTCCCCAGGTGATTCTAATATGTGGCCGTGGTTGAGAACCACTGTCCCCGCTCCTGGTCTGCTTCCTTCAGGGTCTTAGGAGTGTGCGGATTTAATGGGTGGGGCCACGCTTTATATCTCATCTCTGGATGTCTCACCGTGGTAGGCACTTGCAGCTTCTTAAATATGTTGCACTGAGGAACCCGTGGGGAAACCAAGAGGCCAGATTAGAACCAGTTTCATTAGGCTGCGCATTCAGTTGGCTTCCCCACCTTTGTTGAAATGTTTACTCTTATGGGATTTGTTTACTTCCTTACTGAGTCCCCAGCCCTGGGGAGCGTCACAGTTGAGTCTCGACACTGCTCACTACATAAGACCTGCTCGTCTGTGGGGTTGCTCCTGAAACTAATCCCACGGTACATGCCATTAGCCCATTTGACTAATGCAGCACATTACATAATAATATGAACTCTTGAAAATCCTTCTCTTTAATCAAGCCTAATTGCCATGATATAATAAAACCCAGAAAAGATGGATGGGAAAGGGAGGTTCTCTTAGCGTGGGGCCAGAAGCAACTGTCAAATGAGTGGATAGGGTGCCACCTAGTGGCAAAGTGACAAACCACACCCTGAGCTTATGGCACCCACACATGAGTTAGTAACAGTGAGAATCCATCGAAAAGATTTCCCAGCATTATTAAAATAGTACTACCGTGATATCCTCATGAGATTCCCGAGGCTTCGGGTATGAACATGGCAGATGAATCATCAGTTGATTTGATTAAAATTTTTTAGTTGAGCTATAATTCACATACCATAAAATTTACTCTTAAAATGTACAGTTCAGTGGTTTTCAGTATATTCATAAAGTTATGCAACCATCACTACTATATAATTCCAGAACATTTTCACTATCTCAAAAAGAAACCCCTTACCCATTAGAAGTCATTCTCTATTCCTCTGCTCCCCACTTCCTCCCTCCCCACCAGTCCTAGGCAACACTGATCTACTTTCTATCTTGATAGATATGCCTATTCTGGACATTTCATATAAGTGGAATAATACAATATATGGGGCTGTTGTCTTCTTTAACTTAGCATAGTATTTTCAAGGGTCATCCATGTGGTAGCACGTAACAGCCCTCCATTTTGTGGCTGAATAATATTCCATGGTATGGATACACCACATTTTGTCTATCCATTCCTCTGCTGATGGGCGTTTGGGTTGTTTCCACCTTTTGGCTATTGTGAATAATTGCTCATTTAATTTTAACCCTGAGCAATGAACTGTCTTTTACCATGGGCAAGGTGGTCTACATTGCACTTGATGTAAGATGATTGGCTGTCACTAAGAGCATCGCTGGCCTGTTTACTCCTGCCTGTGATCTCAGTCCTAAGAACACGCTGAGGAGGAAGGACCTGTATAGGGGTAATGGGACAGACCTCAACTAGTTTAGAATTCTGCAGCCTTTTCCCATCTGAAATACCTGGGAGCTTTCCAGAAAATACTGCGAAAGGAGAGGAGAGGATGCTGTCGTCCATTTCCCCACGTCACGGCATTCCGTGATTTACACACAAACACACACACGCACGCACCCACATACACACGCATGCACATACACACGTGCACACACACATACATGCGCACACATGCGCATACAGGCTCTTGCTCTCCCACTAGTGTGACCATCTTTATTTTTTCAGGCAAAAATTTCCACCTGGGATGACTGTACCAAGGTATTCACAATATACTTAGGTGCTGGGGAGAACGGGTTAGAGAACTTCAAGTTGGAAGAGAATGAAGGTTTGGGAGGAGTTGGGCTTTCCTTCTGGGCCCAGAGGAGCAGAGTCTCTCTGGCTCAGGTGAGCCCCTGTGGCCAGGCCTTCCCTGAGAGTCAATTCCTCAGCATCGCTGCTCCAGCAGCTTGTCTGTAACCAGCTGGAATATGCCCTGTGAGGGGCATAAAAGATGGGGTCTCTATGCACAAATAAAGGAGGCAGAAGTCATGCACAGTCATTGGACATGAGCAAGATTTAACAGGGGCCTTTGTGAAGAAAACCTATTGCACCTATAGCGGTAGGTGTGTACAAGCCTAATCTGTGAGAACTTGTTCAAACGATATTTGCTACAGCCGAATACCCGGACCAAAAAAACATGACAGACTGGGGGTCAGTAGGAGCTCTGACATGTGTATCGTTGAGGAAAGAGCCGGGTTCACAGCAGACACGTACGGCTGCGAGCATGGTGGGTACCAGACTAGTTCATTTCAGAGAACATGTGTGGAGCCATCAGTAGGTTAACAACGCTCTCCTGGGCCCTGGGAGTAAGATGTGGCTCCTTCTCTCAAGGAGTGTTTTGTCCAACCTCACAATGTACCGTGGGTTGTTTTCCGGAAGGGATGATGTTCACCACGCCGGGGAACTGAGGCTATCCCAGCTGATCCATTTCTTTTCTTTCCCCTTTTCTTCTCCCACCTTGTTTCCTGTCTGTCCTTCGTCTGCGTGGACCCCTCCTCCCCACGCAGGGGAGAATCTGGGATTCTGGGAAGCCTGTGAGGATCTGAAGTATGGAGATCAGTCCAAGGTCAAGGAGAAAGCAGAAGAGATTTACAAGTGAGGATTAGCCAGATTGTTGGGGGCACCTCCCCTTGGGCCCCCACTGGCCACACCACGGTGTTTGAGGTGGGGATGGAACAAGAGGTACCACATGCCTCATGTCAGCGTCAGTCGCTGCCCCTGTCAGGCTTGGGAAGGCTTGCGGTTCCTCTGAAGAAGCCCTGGTGTGGTGCGTGACGGGATGCCCCTGCTTCTAGGGGATGTGCTTAGGAGTCTAAAAAGCCAGCTGCCCTGAATTACAGCCCAAAGTGCTTTGACTGAACCCCCTTAGGCCTCCTGAGAGAGGTGTGTGTGTGTGTGTGTGTGTGTGTGTGTGTGTGTGTGTGTTTGAGAAAGAGCAGAGAGACAGTAGGTAAGATGGGAAAACCCATTCCCCAGGCCTTCTTAGAGAAGTGAAGACCATGAGGGAAGGGAGGTTCCCCCCAGTGTCAGCGACAGTGAGTCCAGCTTGGGGTACAAATGTGGGCCATCTCTTTTTTCTCACTAAGTGGCTCTAGTCCCCACTTGCTCAGTGTAGCAGTAAGTCTGTCCTTCTCCAGGCCTGCCTCTCTTCCAAATTACCCAAGAGCCCAAGGGTTCTGCTTCTAGTGGCCAGGTAGAGGGAAGGGGAGGTGTGATGAGACCACCGGTGTTGCTGAGATGCAGAGCTGCTGTAACCTGCGCCCATACCCGCCCCCGCAGCTGGGAGGGTGCTCTGGTGTTGCTGTGGTGGTATCCCTGCCAGTCCTTCTCTCTGCACCAGCCATAGTGGACACCAGCCTTGGGCTCTGAGGGCCCAGCGCATTTAGTTCATCCTCACATGCTTAGCTGTGGTTCTTGAAGCCCAGCCACCATGCTGGGCTGGAACCAGCCCTCTGCAGCCACCAGACTGTGGTGCTGAGCTTTGGGCAGCAGGCCAGACACACCCCTCACCCCGCCCCCTCCCGGGCACTTATCCTTTTGGACCTCTGGGGTCTGTCCTTCAAATGGACTCAGGATGGACCATCCCACTTTTCAGAGAGGTGCTAGCAATCTTGCAGTCTCACTCCTCATACTTAGAGGCTCCTGTACTTTCTCAAAAATTTGCCCACCTCCTCCCACAGTGGGGGACTCTGCACACCAAGAGAAAAGAGGGAGAGGGGTCATTGCCGTTCCAGGAGGGTCCTGTGACATCCTTGACCAGAACAGTGGTGCCCGATGGCTTCGCACACTACGACACACGTGTGACTCCTAATTCCAAAAATCTGCTGCAAGGAAGCTTCCTGCCTCCACCGTTACAGCAGCTTCCTTCCTCCCCAGGCTCCCTGGTTGTGTAATCTTAGTTTGAATTCCACAATTTTAATGTACAATTAGGAGTGTGGCCAAATATCCACATGAGTATTTCTAACCCCACAACAGCTCAGAATGGGAAATATCAGAGAGCTCCGAGGGCCAGCATCCCAGCTGGAGCTGCAGGACTCAGGCAGTGTGGCCGAGTCAGGTTCTCATGGGGGCCATTGGCAAGGATGCTCAGGTCATGAAACCTCTGGGTACTGGGATTATGGGCTGCCTCCCAACTCAGCATTTGAGATTCATCACCCGACACTCTAGACTGAGCCAAGGGAGAGTAGAGGCCCCAGAACACCTGTTTGGAGGTGTCCTAGCCTGGTTCCAGGTGGGCCTCAAAACCTGCTGAATAAGTTGGAGGCTGCATTCGTCACCCTGACGGCTAGGGCCTAACCCAACCTGGGTTACCCCACCCCCCTTTTGCTCTCTCTCCTAGAGGTCGGGAACACCAAAGTTAAATATTAATGTTCCCAATACTGGCTGTTTTCTTGCTTCTAGGAAATGTTGCTTGACAGCCTGTTCAAACTCTTTGGTGTTTCTTATAAAGGGACCACTTTTATCCTGATGACCTGAGCCATGTCCAGCCCTCCATCCCAAGCAGCTGTGAACTTTTTATTAACTGACTTGGTTTAGCATCTTTCGCTCACATTTTCCTCCCTGGCCCAGGCTATTCCTGGCCCCAGGGGCGAGGCGCTGGATCAACATAGACGGCAAAACCATGGACATCACTGTCAAGGGGCTGAGGCATCCCCACCGCTACGTGCTGGATGCTGCGCAAACCCACATTTACATGCTCATGAAGAAGGTAGGTGGGATCTGTGCCGAGGATACTCGGGCCAGGAAGCCCTTCCCGCCCCCGGTACCTGGAGAGTTCTTTAGATATGGGAAAAAGGAAGATAATACGTGGTTACTGCTTTGCTGGTTTTGGGATGCAGGTCTCTTCCTCCTGTCCTGGGCTGGGACCTCCTTGTGCCCCCAAGCTCACTGGCCAGGGAGGACCACCTGCAGAAGCTGTGTGCATTCTTACAGGCCTCTCCCTCTGCAGTTGTGGTACAGGCAGTAATGATGTTGGTCATTGGTGCTCAAAGACAACCCATGAGGTTGGCATCAATTCTCCAGAGTCCAGTAGTTTGCCCAGTCTCAAAGAGGTGGAGCTGGGGTTCAAACTCGGGTCTGCCTGAGTCCAAAGCCTGAGCTCTTAGCTGCTACAATAGAGTGGTGGCAGTTCTGGTGGCCCTGGCCCCAAGCAAATGTAACATGTGGGGGGTTCAGTATCTGAAGGAGAAAAATTAGGTGTGATGATGGCAAAACCCTGTGAGAATTCAGATTACCTTCCAGATTGTTAGTAAAAAGTGAACATGGTGAAAATTTTCGGGAAATTGTTAAAAAAAAAATAAAGGGAACTTGAAAGAAATGTCTTAAGAAATTAGAATTTGGGCCTCAGAGTTAGCGTTAGAGAGGTTGTCTAGTGTGGCTCCTATGTGGTGCCATCCCCAACAAGACTTTCTTCAGTAGCTTCAACTTCTCAATTACTCCTTTTATGGCAGAGTATCTCTAGAAATTTCATTATTCTGATGTAAGTTTGTGCAAATGGCCAACTTTTATTAGCTTCCTGTTTTTATATTTCTTTTATTTCATCTTCTATGTGTATTTTGTTATAAGAATATGTGTATAAATACAATTTTATATGTGTATTTTGTTTTTATGTGTGTTTTGTGTATTTTTACTTTACTTTTAAAATGTGTAATAATTTAGAATTTTCACCAAGCCAGATCAGCCATATTTTTTTTACTATTTATTTTTCATCAGTGGATTTTCTCTGTGTTTACCATATTAGAAAATTCACAGCAAAGTTTCTTTAATAACGGTCTTCCTTAATGTATTTTAAAATACATTTTGATTCTTAAAAATGTGGTTTTCATACACCCTTTTAGGGAGACACCCAGAGAAGCCAGCTACTAGCCAGGACAAAACAGAGTCATGGATAACTTAAGAAAAGAATGGTATATATGTTTATTGGACTCTCTGTCGCTATAGGCCATGTCTGTAAACTCAGCATGACCCAATGTTTCCATAATCCTTACTCCTAGACTGTTTCCTGGTTCTCACTTAGTCTTTAGAATGGTACCGTTTCAATAAATTAAAAAAAATTCTCAATTTGTTGTTGAGAAATTCTCACAGTTGTTGCTGTGGGCTTCATCCCATATTTGTTACAACTAGAGTTTTCGGTTGGCTTAGAAGTAGCCAGTGTTCATGAAGCCACTTCTCTGAACCTGCCCAGGGTCCCAGGAAATATGCACACAAGAGGAGTCTGAGCCTGGGTCTTTTTTTTTTTTTTTTGTATTTTCTTGCCTTTATGCCCAAATTCAGGGCAGAAAGGGATGTTAGTGGGCTTCGAAGTGGGTTCCATGCTCGTGACTGCTCATTTTCCTTGGAAGAAGGTGTGTGGAGGAGGTTGGGCACAGGTGTCCTCTTCTCCCATGCTTGCTTCACTGGAACCCCAGCTGGATTTTAGTGGGGGGTGCTATAGACCACGGTTCTCTAACCTCAAGTGCAGCAGAATCACTCGGAGGCCTGTTAAGACTCAATTGTCCCACCCCCAGAGTTTCTGATTCGGTAGGACTGGGTTTGGTCCGAGAATGTGCATTTCCAGCAAGTTGCCAGGTGAAATTGATGCTTTTGGTCTGGGGACCACACTTGAGAACCATTGCTTCAGACACACACCGAAACGCCTTTCACACAAGGAGACACATTCTCTTAACTTCGCCATCTGACTGCCAAGAGAGGGCTTGAAAATGGCAAGTGTATTCGTTTTGACACTTTCCCGCTTGTAATTACTGTTTTCCTCTTGTTCCCACTAGGATTCTTATGCTCGCTATTTAAAATCTCCAATCTATAAGGAAATGCTGGCCAAAGCTATTGAACCTCAGGAAACCACCAAGAGAAGGCAAGTGGAATGGTCTGTAATTACTGGTTGCCTGCTGTTTTGTTTACAGAGAAGTGAGGGACTCTTTCAACCAAATGGCCGTCATTGAGATATTTGCTTGATGAAAATATTGGAGACTAGGAAGTATATCTAAGGGTGTGATTGCCTCATTGGCTTCATAATGCCCTGAAATCACCCTAGCAAGATTTCCTTAGTAATTACTGCCAGTAAGTTTTGTTTCCGTAATGCTGATTTGAAAGTGTTTTGATTATCAGACTGATAATTATCCTTATCACAAATGGAAGCATCTCATTGGTGTTTTAATTGTTATACTTCTCCACCTCCAAGCTGATGTATGGGAATTAATTTAGCCACATCCTGGTATCCGTAACATCCTAAGACCTTAGAGAGAATAGCAGATTGCACCCCAAGAGAAAATGGTAGACTGTCTAAGCCCATTTTGAAGTCCTTAGACATTCTAAGGATCCTGCCTTTTAGCAAGTCTGTTAGTTAACTCGCTTCTTCTCATCTTCCTCATTGGAGATATAGATCATCTCATCTGGCTGAGCCCTTGGGCAAAGGATGAGATAATGTTCAGAGAGGTAGTTTGAACTCTTCTTTTGGGGGAAAAAGAAAACTCTGTAGGGATTGAAGATTCAAAAGAGTAACCAAATGACTGCTTGAAAAGGACGTGGGACTTTGGCGGAGGTTTTCCCAGCGCCAGCGCGTGTCCTGTCCAGCCATGGTTAGTAAACGTTCCTGCGCGTGCCAGCTCAGCCCACGCTGGGCTCTTTTCCAGCATCTCCAGTCAATTCAAAAGAGGGTGATTGGACCAGAGCCTTTATCAAAGGAGCTGTAAAAAAACTTCCAACTTGTTTTCATTCTTGAGGATAATGGCCCTGTTATGAAAAGGAGAGAAAGGAGGTCTTTGTGGTGCTGTTCTTCTAGGTTTACCCAGTAAGGAAGAGAGTTGAGCGTCTTGAAAGCTTCTCCTTTAAGCCGCAAGAAAGGGCCGTAATAGCTCCATTGGTTCTGCCAGAAAGTAGGGGAAAGAGAGAGGAGTCTCGTACTCTCTCTCCAGATATTTCATAAGTTGGGGCAGACCTGAGAAATCAGCTGGTATCTTCTCCTGGGCCCCCTGGGTGCTTTGAGTGCTGGGGTGGCACTAGACCATGGAGGCAGTGCTTGGCTGTGGGGTGGGGTGTTGCGGTCTGGCAATGTCACTGATACCGTCAGTGAGAATGCACGTGTGAATGCTTTTCTGAGGTGTGAAGCTCGACCTGTAAACACGTGGGGATTACAGTGGGTGTGAGTTTGTTACATGACTCACAGATGAAAGACAATGTATAAAATTTAACTTTTCCGGAACAAGTTAAATCGAGCTCCAAGCCTCCCCCTTGGCAGGGCTAGTGGGAGACCCAATATCAGGCATCACCTACTGGTGGGGGAGCCCTCTTCCTCCCTAGGGTGGATACAAGAGTTCTAGGGGCTTATGTTGTCCAGAAATATGGGGAGGTCCTGAGTTTTAAGTCTGCCATTGCTGCTAAAATGCTTGTTTTCCAAGCCTATAGGGGGCTAGGCTGCTCACCATCCCCTGCATCCCTCAGGCGCCTGGAGCTTTGTCCTGACCCCCAAGCCGTGGTAGAGAGAGTTTGGTCCCAGGAATCCACGTTTGGCTTCTATAGAAGGTTCTGACTTGTCCGGCACATGCGTACAGTACCACCAGCTCACCAACCCTCTTCAGGCCCCTTCCGCCTTTCTTTGCCCATGGAGCCCTCTTGGGCAGCCCAGTTCTCTCCCTCCTTCTCAGAACCTTCGCTTTTGAAAACAAATGCTGCAACTCTCCCCTGAGGCAGGAACCCTGGGCTTCCAGTATCCAAGCCCTTCTTGCCCCTTCTTTCAGGAAGAGCCTACAGGAAGTTGAGATGACAAATTGATTTCTAAACATTGTAGAAGGTATGTCTGTAATCATCACCATCCAAGCAGTCTTCCTGAGCCTAACCTAAAATCTGATGGCAGTTGAGACTCGCTCTGGTCCCATCCTCCAAGGGGGGAGAAAAGAGCTAAGATTGGACACGCGTCTGAGGACCCCACTTGAGGTTCACAGGAGAATGAGGGGACAAGTCCAGATTCTGGCCTCCAGCCCTACTTCCCACCAGGTGTTAGTGTCATTGTTAGGCAAGCAATGTGGCTTTCTGCCACCCACCAATCCTGTCCTTCCTTCCAGCTCCGGCCTCCCGTTTATGCGGCGTCACCTGCGCTCCAGCCCAAGCCCTGTCATCCTGAGGCAGCTGGAAGAAGAAGCCAAGGCTCGAGAAGCAGCCAACACGGTGGACATCACCCAGGTCATGAGCAAGCTGGACCGTAGGAGCCAACTCAAAAGAGAGCCGCCTCCTAAATAAATCTGCAATTCTGGGGTGGGGTGGGGTGGGGGTATGCACTTGGGAGAGGCAAAGAAAGAAAGACAGAGTCAGAGTCTAGAGGATTCCCTTCCCCGTTATTGGGGTGGTGGGGTAGTCAGGTTCACCCCATATTCCTCTGACTTCCATCGTGGAGGACTTCTCAATACCACAGCAACTAGAGCTAGTCTTCCCTCCAACTCACCAACGGATGGGGTTGGCAATCGTGGGGGGAGGTCACCTGATGCAGCTGCTGTGTGACACCTGTCTTACCTTAGGGAGTTCTTGTGGTGAGAACCAGAGAGAGAACAGGTTGCTTCGGATGCCACCATTTGCTTTGAAAATTAAAAAGAAGGCCTCTCTCCACCCTCAAGGATAGTTCTTTCAGGCATGTTTGTTTAAAACAGCTTAGTGAAGCTGCTCATCCCATCTCTCCAGTTAAACTCTGCTTCTAAAGCAGTCTGAGCTCCTCCAAGGGCTAGTTGCAGGGTTGCCCCAAAGATGTGCTTCCCCAAGACTCCCCTGTCACACCTGCCTGGAAAGGCCCTGCTGAGATGTTTCTGTTCAGCTTGTTCTCAGTCACAGTTATTGAGGGCCGATGGGCTCCCTCCTTCTGTCTTGTCTCCCCATTCCCTCATACATGCTAGCGGGATAGGTACTTGTAGGAATGAAGGGCTCAGGCCCGAGGCCTCCAGAGCAGTCAAGGTGAGATGGCCTTCTGAGGAGCATCATTTTGGGTAAAGGAGAAAGGCGCTGATGTCTCATTCACGGAGGAGGGATGGTAGATATCTGCGACATTTTCAAGATGAGTCAGAGTCAAAGATAATACTCTCCAGGATATTTTCTAAATGTTGGTGCTTCCCTCCTCTGTAGCTGTAGACTAGGCCAGCCCTGTGGTCAAGGGTGGAGGGGAAGACAGTTAGAACTCTGACCTTGGGAGGCCTACAAGGTAATTCTTGAAGTTAGCCTTACCTCATACACCTCTGTAAGAATGCAAAGGAGACGGAACAAGTTGGTGAGCCAGGGACCGACCTTGCACGAGAAGACTCGCTTATTCAACACATTTACTGAGCTCCTCCTATGTGCCAGACGTTAGTGAATAAAATAGACGTGGTCCCTGGCTCATGGAGCCTATAGTCTAGGACTGACAAAAAATAACAAAGCCGGCTATGTCAGGTAGCTGTTACTGTGTAACAAACGACCATACAACTAGAGTGGCATACAACAATAAGTGTTTATTGTTCATGCATATAGGGTCATCTCTGTGGCTCTGTTGATCTTGCTGGGGCTCATTCCTATGCCTAGGGGTTGATCTGCAGTGGCCTAGGCTGGGATGAGTGGAAAGATTCTGCTCTGCTTCCCATGTCTCTCATCCTCTAACAGCCTAGCCTAAGCATGAGCCTATGGTGATGGCAGAATTGCAAAGGAGTGAGTAGAAACACGTAAGATTCTTGAGGGGTAGGCTTGGAACTGGCACGTGGTCTCTTCTACCTCATTTTCTTGACCAAAGCAAGTCACAAAGCCAGCCTAGAATCAAGGGATGGGGAAGTAGACTTTATCTCTTTAGTAATAGAAATTTCAAAGTCTCATAGCAGAAGACATGGAGATAGGGAGGGGTGAAGAATTGGGGCCATCATTGCAATCAACAATATAAGCAAATATGTGATAAAACCTGTAGAATGTGTTATAAAGGAAACGGATGTGGTGCTGTGATAGGGAAGATGGGGGTATGTAGACTAAGGAGGCCTCTTCAAGGTGGTAATAGATAAGCAGAGGTTGAGAGAGAGTTGGCCATACAAAGGATGTGGGCTGGGTGGGGAGAAGTTCCCAAGCAGAGGGGACTGCATCGGCAAAGGCCCAGCAGTGGGAAATGGCCCAGAGTGAACTGAAAGGGCAGGGGAATGGAGCCTGATGGACAATGGGGAATGGTACAAGAGGAGGTTAGAGAGGTGGGCAGGGCCAGGTCATGGAGGACTTTCTAGGCCATTGTAAGGAGTTTGTGGCTCTTGGTTTCGTGTTAGCAAAATGATTCCATCACTCTTTCCATTTTCCATGCTCATGGACTAGATTATATTCTGAAAGAGCAACTAGAGATACACTCTGTTCATCTCTCTTTTGAAGACTGTTGGAGTCCCCCAACTCAGTGAGGGCACCCCAAGCAGAAATTTCAGGTAATGAACCATTGTAAACTGAGTGACAGGAGGGGAGGGACCATATCTATCTTACTCACCACTTGGAGCCTAATGCCTGAGTCCTAGCAGTCCTAGTCTGCATAAACGTGTGTTACATGAATGAATGAACGAATGGATGAATGAATGAATAATTGGAAAGAGCCTTGGATTTAGAGAAGGTCTCTTGGGCTCTGGTCCTGGTTCTACCACTAGCCTTGTGGTCTTGAGCAGGTCACTTCACCTCTCTGCTTCCTGATTTGTGAAATGAGGGGTTGGGACCAGATCCAAGCTTCTTAGAACAGATTTTGTGAATTCCAGGAGGGTACCCAGCCTGAGGCATCAATTTTACTTGAAGATTTGGATTGAGAGGAAAGTTAGGTAATTTTTAAAATTTCACATTAAAATAATCATGAATATATTATGAATTAGAATGCAAAATGTACATGAATTTTTTAAGATAAAATTTGAGACATCAAAGATAGTTCATGCTTGGCTGTGGCAGGTTCAGGTGTTGCCCTCAGACTCCTGGGAGAGCATGGTTACCCCAGCTCTCCTACTGTTTGTCCTACTTTTGTGGGAAAGTTTGAGAAGCACGAAACCAGAGATATTTGCTATCCCTTCTAGTTACCTCCTATGAGCTGAGATTACACACCTAGCAAAATGGTAGTGAGGATGGTGGGGGTGTGGAATACTTCATGAATTCTCCAGGTTACATACTGTGTCTTGTTCATCTTTGCTCAACCATCCACCATCCCATTCCCCACATGTGAGACATGTCTGCTTCACATGTCTCTCATCCTCCAACAGACTACCAGGTGCTCTGTGTCAGACACATAGTAGGTATGCCACACATATTGATAGAAACCTTCTCAATGTCAGACACACAAGGATCCCACAATCTAATGAGAGATGCAGGCATGTAAACAAAGTAGGTTGTCGTTCTTTATTGGATGAATGAGTAAATAAGTGTTTCAACATTAGCCATCTAAAGGGAGGTAGATGATAAATGGCTTCACTCCTGGATGGTGGCAGTTTTGTTGCACAAGTGTATTTTAAACACCTGTTTTGTGTAAGGACCAGTGGTGGGTGCTATGGCAGATATAAAAATGGACAAGATGTTCTCTGCCTTCAAGGGGCTGACAAGGGTGCACAGAAGCAAATGGCTGTAACAAGAGGCAGAATGCAATCGAGGCTGGGGGATGTCCAACATGTTAGAAGAGCACAGAGATGGGAAAGTATGGTTTGGCCTGGGGGATTGAGGGAATCTACCAGGAAATGCTCATGTTTGGTTGTAAAGGAGCCACAGGTCCTACCCAGTTTTGAGGTTTTGTAAGTGTCTGCTGCTAGACTCCAGCAGGTGGCAGCTGCTCCTGCTGGCTTTGTTTCTGTGCATCAAACATAACAGTAGCCCTACATGGCCCATTCGAATCTCAAATAGCGTCAAAAATAGTATTTATTTGGACATTATTATTGATACATTTAAATCATTATGATATTCTCTATTATGCCATATACTTAGGCACCATCTTAATTCCTTAATGCCATATTTTAAATAGCTTGAGTTTCTCTACCCATAGTAGTGTATATCTTATGCTAGGATATAAGTTATGCTATAAGGCACCAAGATTTCCTATGTAGAATTTCATTTTCAAGCTTGGCTTTTAGAGAAAGACTGTGTTTGTTGTGAGAGTTGAGTGGAGATACAAGGGCTCGGGACAAAAAAATACAAGTAGAGTGCTTGGGACAATGCCTGGCATGTAGTAAGTGCTCAATATATGCCTGCTGCTGTCATCATCGCAACCATTATTGCCATCACCATCACCATTACCGTCATCCTCACCATCACCATCATCATCCTCACCACCATCATCACCATCACCACCATCATCCTCACTGTCACCATCACCATCATCATCAGAACCCTCATCATCATCAGCACCATCATCACTGTCATCATCACCATCATCATCAACATTTCCTAGTAGTTTCCTGGTCTTAGAGTAAGCTTGTGCTTTCTTGCATCTGTCAGTGTTGTCCAATACAGTAATTGGTTATTATTTATTATGTAAGGCATTATCTGAGATGTATTTAAAGCATTGTTGACCTTTTACTTTTTTTCTCAGAGTCTTGTATAGCTCTGAGGGACCCAGGGACCTCCCAGCTCTCCAGGGACCATTAAGAGATATTTCAGGGGAGGAGAATGGGGAGTTAATGTCATGTCCTCTGTCTGCAGCTCCTAAGAGAGGGCTGAGCAGTAACAGTGTAGGGGCTGGTCAGTCCTTTGGTCTGAATTTCATGGCTGCAGTAAGGGTCAGTTCTAACTGGGAAGGTCTTGTACTGGGCTGTGACAAATGAGATGACTGTAGGAGAAATGATGTGTTCACCCACGAGGACTTTTCTCCATGAGGCCAATTTTGCTCATTTGCTTTTGGGAACAGTGGGGAAAGGGAGACTGAGAAGGCACTGGGAGGGGGGACTGTGCACACTGCATGCTGAACATGAATGCAGCCCTTTCCTCACCTGCCTGCTCCCAGGAAGTGGGAGTTCAGGTGGCCACAAGTCCCCTTAAAATTCTCAGCCAGTTTCTGGACAGAAAGTGAGTTGCATCTCTTTGCACCATCTGCTTTGCCTTTCATTGAAAAGCCTGTGACTGTGTCCTCATGTCAATGTACCTGCTCCATTCCGTGCTCCTCTCCCCCTTCCGTTGGTTCCCTTGCATAATAAAACAGCAGCACAAAACCAAACCAAACCACGCTCTCCTTCACTGTGTCTCTGCCGTGTCACATTTCTTTGCCATGTGCCTTGCATGCCACTGCTTTGCTGCCTCATGCCAATGGTGGGTGTGCCACAGGCTGGAGGAGCTGGGTCTCCACGCACAAGCCCCTGGAGTCTGTGGGAGGGGCCAGGCTCATGGTGGGAGCAGGTGGAAAAGGCATCCTGCTTAGAGTGTCCGTGGCCAGTTGGGCTAATGGGTATTTGCCCAGAAGAAAGGACCTTCTTGGGCAGGTAAGTGAAGTAGGACAGTGACCACCTTCCTCACCTGTCCTGTCGTTCTTCCTGGAAAAGAGCCGGTGCTGGGGGAGGAGTAGGGAGGGGAGGAGGGCACAGAACTGGGTGGGACTATATGGAGTGGCTTGCCCTGTCATAAGCGGTATAATCTTGGTCAAGTTATATCATCTCCATGAGCCTCAGTTTTCTTATCTGTAAAGTAGGGATTATAACAGGAGTTTATCACAAATTCTGGGTAACTAGGATTTAAGTTAATGAACCGGTGGCGGGGGTGTCAGTCAATTTGTTGAAGGAGGAGAACTTTGATGCCCCTCTCTCTCTCTTAACAAAGCCTGTTTCCTAGTTTTGGTGTTTCGGCCCACTCTCCAGGACCCCAAGTCCTATCCGAGACCCATAGGCAACAAGATGGCAATATGAATCAGAAGAAAAGCAAGGACTTTTGGGTTATCCAGACTTGGGATCAGATCCTCACTTAGTCACTGTACTAGTTATCTATTGCCGCGTAACAAATCAGCACAAACAACCACCATTTATTAGCTCCCAGCTGGCCAGGGGAGACGCAGCTGTGTTCTCTGCTCAGGGTCTCAGGCTCACGGTGTTGCCAAGCTTTTCATGTTCTTATCTGGAGGCTCTTGGGAACAATCTGCTTCCGAGCTCATTCAAGATGTTGGTAAGACCCAGTTATCTTGTTGTGGGACTGACGGCTCCATTTTTTTGCTAGCTGTTAGCAGTGGGCTGCTCTCAGCTTCTGGAAGCTGTTCGAATTCCTTGCCATGTGGACTCCCTCCATCTTCAAAGCCAACAATGGGGAATTTCTCCCTCACTGAACTCCTATCGTGCTTCAAACCTCTCTGATTTGTGTCTCTGGTCTCTAGTCTCAGGTTCATGTGATGAGGTGAGGCTCACCCACATAATCCTTTTTTAAAGTCACCTATGCCGTGTGACATAGCCTGACATTCACAGTTCACACCCTCACTGAAGGACAGGGGTAGGAATCTTAGAATTCAATGTACACAGTCACTGGTTTTGAGAGCCTGGGGAGGGTAATGAACCCCTCTGGACCTCAACGTTCTGATCCTGAAAATGGGGTGGTTATAGATTCGCAGAGTACCTAGCACATAGTAGATGCTTAATAAATTATAGGCCATACTCTTTGAACCAACAGTTGTCTCCCAAATCTTTAATCAGGGCCCAGCCTTCACCCCTATTATTATTATTATTCTTTGCAGACTGTGTCTAAGTGGAGACACATGTCCTATGGGAAGGGAGGCGTTAGAAGCATCGTGCAGAGCTCCACAAACTTACTGGGTGTAATAACAAAACAACGACCTTGGGTGCTGGTTAGAAGATGCTTTCCCTGAGTCACACCCCCTGAGAGTCCCCTTCAGTGGGTCTGGGGTGGGGATGGGATCTGCATTTGTAGTGGGCACCCTGGGTGATTCTGATGTGCTGATCTACAGGCCTCACTGAGACATCAGCCAGCAGTTACACGTGAGCCCTGTGGAGTCAGCGACCCTGATTTCAAAGCCTGTGCCCCAGTTCCCAGCAGCATGTCCTTGGGGCTCGGCTTCTCAAAGCATTAGTTTCCTCATCTGTGAAATGGGTATAATAATAGCTGCCTTGCCAAGGGGCTTGGGGGAGTAAATGCGATAATCCGTGTAAAGTGCTCAGCCCAGAACCTCACATTTGCTGAGTTCTCACTGCATATTAACAATAATAATAATTATGATTCGTATAATAATGCAGTGGCCCCAGGCCTGGGCCTTGGCTCTGATTTGTCGGTCTGTGGATGTCTGAGCAGGGAAACAGAATCAGTGGCTCCCAGATGCTGTTTCAGAATGGAATCCTGCTTGAACTTCAGGGACCTGATGGGAGAGAATGAAGACCGCCCCCCCCGCCCCCACAGCAAAGCCCTCTGTGGCCTCCTGGGCTTTCTTTTCCTCCAAAAGCCATTCTTGGATATGCCTGTCCTTTCCTTGTCAGGTTGGGCCTGGCACACTCAGGTGACCTGGAAACTGGGCCACACTCTGCGGAAGCAAGCGGCCTCCAGCTCAGTGCCCGGAGCCGCCCTCCTTCAGCCCCAGGGCATTGCCCGGGCCCCGGGGGCAGGCAGGTCCCTCTAAGCAGGACGTCCATGTGGCTGTGGCAGTTTCAAAGAGGGTTTGTTCTTCACTGAAGTCATTTCCGATTCTCTCTTGGAGGCGGTCTTGGTGCCACTATCCCAGGGAGCCGCCCTCCCTGCCAGGACCAGCATGTCCTCCAGCTCTGCTCATGCTGGGCTTTGATGTGATGCATGGCCACAGCAGGCCTTTAGGAGGCGACACAACAAGCCAGGCCGGTGGGTCCATGCCCTCTGTGAAGGCCTGGTGACAGCAGAGAGCCTTCCTGAAAATTCCCATTTTAACTTTCTCTGTGGGCTCAGACAAAGCTCTCTCGGGCTCCTTGCACTGAAGACATGGCTGACCCTGCGCTCCTGCCCCAGTGCTCCAGGACTCGGTGGCCACGGCGGCCCAGGAGGTTGAGACATTCCCCTGACTCCACCAGTAAACTCCTTGTCCTGTATTTCCTGTTTCCTCCTCCCGGCTTGTCCCAGTTCCACACTCAGCCTTTCTTCCCGGCCCCTGCTCTGCCCGTGGTGGGCCTGGCAAGTGCTGGGGCAAGAGCATCCCCACAACGTGGACAGTGTGGACATGGGTTGGGGTTCTGGACAAGGTGGGTGGTCTCAGGCCTGGAAGAGTCAGCAAGGCACGAGCTGGCACTTCTGCCACCTCCACTGCTCTGTTAGAAGTGTTTTAAATGCCTCCAGTCCTTAGTGTGGAAACCAAGGACAGAGAAGGGATGAGATGGCATGTGGTGGATACTAACGAGCAATGGTTCATTGGGGGACGGGAGTGGAGGGGCGATTGGAAAGTCAGCCTGACCATACCCCAGGCCTGGGGTATGGACCATACCCCGGGCCTGACCAGGCCCGGAAGAAGGTCAGTCTGTGCCCTAGGATGCAACTGCCCAGCTCTGGGGACCGTGGCTAGGGCTTGGGGACAGGCAGGCCACTTGGCAGGAGGCCTCTGCATGACTGTGCCATCATCATAGGTGGCTTGAGGTATCCTTCCCAACTCCCCAGCAGGCAGCCATACCAGGCCTGTGCCCTGGGCACTGGAAAGGGCCAAGTTAGCAGGGGGCGGCCCACGGGCCCGTCGACTAGCCGCACCACTCACTCTGAGCGTTCTCTTTCCTTCTCTGCAGCCAGGCCAGCACGCTGCTCCCAGCCCCCACCTGGCTGTGTACACCGGGACCTGCGTGCCCCCCTCTCCTTCCAGCCCCTTCTCCCCCTCCTACCGCTCCCCCAAGAGGCCCTTCCCCTCACCAGGCCGCTTCATCCGGCGGCCCAGCAGCACCGTCTGCCCCTCGCCCATTAGAGTGGCCTTGGAGAGTTCCCCGGGCTCGGAGCAGAAGGCGGAGGCCAGCGGATCCAAGGCCCAAGGTGGGCCTGCCAACACCGAGAGCAGCGAGGCCTCCATCGACCACTCCCAGCCCCGGCCCCCACCCAGGGCCCCTCCCAAGGCCCGCATGGCTCTGTCCTTCAGCAGGTTTCTGAGACGAGGCTGTTTGGCTTCACCAGGCTTTGCCAGGCTCTCACCCAAGTGCCCCCCTGTGTCCCATGGGAAGGTGCAGCCCCTGGGGGACGTGGGCCAGCAGCTGCCCCGGCTGAAACCCAGGAGAGTAGCAAAGTAAGAACCAGAGGGGATTGTGCTGTGTGTGTGTGTTTGTGTGCGTATGTCTCTGTGTGTGCATGTAGTATGTCTGTGGTGTGTGTGCATGCATGTCTCTCTGTGTGCACGTATGTCTGTGGTGTGTGCATGCATGTCTCTGTGTGTGCATGTATGTCTGTGTGCATGTATGTCTGTGGTGTGGACCAAGGCCCTGTGTTGTGAACATGGTCTAGAACGAGGGGCTGGGGGGCTGGGTAACGAGGAGGATTCTGGGCAAGCAGACACCACAAATAGGCCATTTAAACCCCTTGGCCACTAGACCGCTTCCAGAAACTCAGCGTTGTCCTCCCCTCTTCCTGAGAAAGAGGAGAAGGAATGGGTGTCTTTCTTTTCCACCTTGTTTTTCCTTCTATACTCTTCCACCCACCCCGCCCCACCCCAAGAACATTAGTCTAATGAACCCATTGCCTCGTTCAAGCGCAGGCAAGGTCAGGGGCAGCAGTGGGAGCCACGGGTGGTGGGAGGCTCGGGGCATGTTCTGGGGGGCCCCTCCCCTGCCTTAGGTGCCCTCGCCTCACCCGCAGCCCTCCTGCGTTCACCCGCACAGACTCTCAGAGGGGCGTGCAGGGTCTTGCTCCCGCAGTGGTTTCTGTGAAAACGACAGTGTCCAGTCTCTGCTGGGAGGAGGCCCCTCTACCTCCATTTTGGGTGGGGCTGCAAGCCTGACCTCTGAGAACCCCAGGTGCCCTGAGACAGCTCCCTGGGGCAGAACAAAGGCGCCAGGGGGCACATGGTAACTCCTGGACCAGTGACAGAAAGAGAAGTTGTAGACAATGCAAAACAGAGAATCAACCCCCCGCTTTGTTTGGTTTTTGGGGACACAGTCAAGGGCACCCCTGCACCCATCAACGTGCTCCTGGGTTTGGCCCTGCCTGGTCTTGGAGAAGGAAGGCACCACACGAAGTCTTAGGTTGCCATGGATACCTGAGTATCCACAGGCTCTGCTGTGCAGTATGCTTGAGGGGACAGCCAGGAGCAGAGGATATGACCCACTCCTGCCTGTGTCAGTTGGGGGAGGAATAGGGGGAGTCAGGATCCAGGGTGAGCATGTCTATTGATTCTTCCCAACTAACCCTACTCAGGGAATGTTCTAGATTTGCAGCCACTGCCATGCCCCCACATGGGCTTGGGGCTTTTAAAAGGCTCTTTTCTCAGGGGCCACTACTTCATCAGAGGCAGTTTAAAAGGGTTGAGGATTAAGTACTGGTATGTCCTATAGGAACATCCCGAATTCATCAAAATCATAAAAATTCAAGCCTCTGAGAAATGAAAATAAAGTGTCTTCTGAATTATCCTACTTCAGCATGAAAATATGAGTCCCCTCTCCACTCCACTAGAAGGGATCTAATGAGCCCATGGCTGCACACACAGCTCTTGGCAAATGCACCTGTGTGTCACTCTTCTCCAGCGACATCAGGGTAAGGTGGGGATGTGCTGTCCCTCTGCCCCCACACATTTGCTTTCCTTTTGTGCCTGAAGCTTTTTCCAGATCAAAATGGACCTGCCTACGGAGAGTGGGACCTGCCTGATGGACTCGGAGGACACTGGGACAGGAGAATCGGGTGACCAGGCCACAGAAAAGGAGGTCGTCTGTCCCTGGGAGATCCCGGCCGAGGGGAAAGCTGGCTGAGCCTGGGGCCTTGGACCAAGAAGATGCTCCTGGCAGATGCCACTGGATGGGGCCTCAGGGCACGCTTGCTCTAGAACCAAAGTGCATTAAGATCATATTTCGGGGCCGGAGAGACAAGATGGGGTGGCTTATGGGGAAGAGTGTGCTAGCTGGTCTCCCAACAGCTGACTCGTTCCCTTCCTCCTGACATTCCCTCCCTTGGGCAGAAGAAAGGCATGTGGACCAGAAGACATTCCTTGCTGCCTTAAAACCGATAAAAGGTTAACTTGTAAGAGTCTCCTGGATTGGAATGTTAGTGTGTGTCTGGTATTATTAGTTATTTATGAGCTATTAATTATGTGTTAAACTCATGTCTTCTTTGGTTTTCTGGGCAAAGGGACATTGAGTTCCAAGAACTCCTTCCCTGTCTAAATTGGTATGTGCATGATATTTTATCAATGGAGCTCCCCAGGGGGATGCCCCAGGGTGTGGCATCAGGCAGGAAGCGGGGAGCTGGGGAAATTCATCTTTCTAGAATGCCAAGTATGTTGTTCAGATCCACCAAGAAGCAGATGCCAAGATGGGATTAGATAGGCAAGGGATTTGTTGGGGGAAACGCCTGTGAAGGATACAGGATGGGAGCTGGCGAAGGGGCAAGGGCTTTCAGACCATGCAGGTGCAGGGCTGACCCCTGGGGAAGGAGGAATAGGCAGGAAGAGTCTCAGATAGCAGCGCAGTTCCAAGAAAGTTTTGGCCACGCTGCTGGGGTGTCCTTGAGCCAAGTCACTATTGGAGGGGTCCTGTGTCTTATGGGAATGGTTCTGCGTTAGTACCTTCACCACGCAAGGTCATTGTCTGGGAGTGCCTTTGGGAAGCCTGGCCCTGGCATGGACATGCTGGTGGCCATCAGTCCACATGCTCTTTGCAGCAGGAAATCTGAGCTGCATTTTCATGTCTGCTGCACCCAGCCAGTAGGCACCTCTGGAGGTTTGGGCCTCAGTGCACCCCTCCCACCTCTTCTCCAGTTATTCACTAGACAAATATTTATTGAGCCCCTACCATGTGTCAGGCACTGTGCTAGGCCCTGGGGATGCAGCTGTGGGTAAGGCTCTTTGCCTCATGGAATTCATCTAGAGCAGTGGTTCTCAACCAAGGGACACCTTTGCCCCCAGGGGACATGGAACAGTGTTTGGAGACATTTTTGGTTGTCAAGATTGGGGTAGGGAGTGCTACTGGTGTCTAGTGGATAGAGGCCAGAGGGCTGTCCTCCTGCACAGTGCACAGGACAGCACCCTACCCCTCCACAACACAAGATTATCTGGTTCAAAATATCAGTGCCGCTGCTGAGAAATGCCCTATGCTGCTGGGCATGTGCCCCTTGTCATTGGTTTCTGCCCAAAGTCCTGGAGTGTTGCTCCAAAGGGTCCTGCTGGGATTGTAATTGGATTGGACAGTGGGTTGAGATAAAGGGCTACTTGGTGAATAAAATAGTTCTTAAAAGTTGCATGGAAAGTCCTCATAGGAAAAAAATTCAAATGGTTTGCCAAACCACTCATTATGCCCCTCCCTTTAAGTCTCAGCTTCATCAGAATTCAATTAGTAGATAAGAGCCCCTCATTTGCTTTTAACCTTGGACAACTTACCTTATTAGTCTGTAAATACTGGGGCTGCTGAGTCATCTCTGTGCACTTCTCAAGATGAATGGTGGGTAGGTGCATGGCCAAGAGCTGGACTTGCTAACCTGAAGGGAAACACAGCTGCTTCACTACTGAAAGAGCATCTCATTTTCGATTCTATAGAATCCACTCCATTGGGCTCACAAAAGAGTCACTTATCCAGGGGTAAGGAAACTTTTCTCCCAGAGAGTAAGTGAAATAGGCTAGGTCTTTCTTGGAAGGTGAGTGGGCCAATTAATTTGATGTCTTGATTTGCAAAGCTGGTCTAAAATGAGATTAAAGGCAAGGCAATCCAGACCCTTAGTCTACCAGCAGCCTGTGTGTCTGGAAATAAGAAGAATCTCAACCCTGGACTTGCGTGCTAGTGTTTCTGGGGCTCTACTCCCAAGCCCCCAGGGTCCTAAAGAGAAACCAAGCCCCCGTGGATCCCCAGGATCAATGACTGAGGCTGCAGGACTCACTGGTTGGCTTAGGTAAGGTCCACTCCAAAGTGCAGTAACAAAGAGACCCCAGAAGGAAGAGGTCCGGACATGAAGGAGTTTCTGCCTCTGTCACATAATTGTCCAAAGGCAGGAGGCAGTCCAGGGCAACTGGAGTCCAGAGAGGAGAGGAAATCCAGGAACCAATATTTTTTTATCTCGTTGCTCCACTTAACCTCTAGTCACCAGTATGATGATTCTCCATCTTGTGTGGACATTAGAATCCACTGGGGAACTTGAAAAATCCCGATGCCCAGGGGCCGGCTCCGTGGCTTAGCGGTTAAGTGCGTGCGCTCTGATGCTGGCGGCCCGGGTTCGGATCCTGGGTGCGCCCCGAGGCATCACTTCTCCGTCCAACGTGAGGCCGAGTCCCACGTACAGCAACTAGAAGGATGTGAACCTATGACATACAACTATCTACTGGGGCTTTGGGGGGAAAAACTGAATAAATAAAATCTTTAAAAAAAAAAAAAAAATCCCGATGCCCAGGCCACACCTGGTCCAATCATGTCAGAATCTCTGGAGGTAGAGCCCTGGTATCTGGATTTTTTAAGAGTCTTTCCCAGATGATTGCAAGGTTGAGAAACTCTGCCCTGGGGTAGTGATCCAATGTCCAGTCTAGGGTAGTGATTGAAGCTGGTTCACCATCCCCACATCCATGTTCATTCCCAGGGAGACAACAGGAAAAGAAGAAGTGGTGGGAAGGCAGCTTCTTAAGTTCATAACCTGGAAGTAGTTTGTGCCATTTTCACATTGGTCTGCACATGGTCACATGGCCACACCTAGCTGCAAAGGAGGCTGGGAAATGTAGTCTCTAGTTAGGCCAGCTTGTGAATAGTTAAACCTCTGGAGGTTCTAATACCAGGAAGGAAGATGGGGAGCCTGGATATTGGTGGTCACTTTGTCTCTCCCACACTGGAACTATTGCGCAGTCTTGGCAGGGAATGGAAAGTAGCATGGGAAAAGGGAGAACATAGGAGGCAGGGCAAAAGAAGACAGCAGTGGCTGATTAGTTTTTGTTTGGCCAAATATTTGGTAAATATCTATAAAACGCAGCTATGCTCTATTCCATGGTTGAGTGGCTTTTCATTCATTCAGACTGAATACCTGCTAGTTGCCAAACACTAAGCGAGGTACTGGGAGTAAAGCTGATTCCCTCATGGAGTGCTATCATTGCTCAGAAGCAAACTGGGGAAGTTGGATCTATGGGTCACTGGTGGAGCACAGGGTTGAGGGATGCTCGAGTCCTGCCCTGCCCCTTCCAGCTTGGGATAGCTTCTTGATTTCCTCATTTGGGAACTGGAGGTGACAACTGGACCTTCTTCATAGGGTTATTTGGAGACACATAAAATGTTTTGTTGTTAGTGCTGTTGAGTCGATTCTGACTCCTAATGGCCCTGTGTACAGCAGAGAGGAACCCTGTCCAGTCTTTTTGTGCCATCCTCTCACTTTCTGGCACTGTATCAGATAGTACTGCACTGCTATTCATAAGATTTTCATGGCCAATTTTTTCGGAATTGGGTGGCCAGGTCCTTCTTCCTAGTCTGTCTTAGTCTGGAAGCTCCACTGAAACCTGTCCACCATGGGTGACCCTGATGGTATTTGAAATACCGGTGGCATAGCTTTCAGCATCACAGCAACATGCAGTCACCACAGTACGACAACAAACAGACAGGTGGTGTGGCTCCCTGACCAGGAAACAAACCTGGGCCTCGGCAGTGAGAATAATGAATCTCAACCACTAGACCACCAGGGCTGGCTACATAAAATGAGATGAAACGTATATAACTTTTTGCCTCTTCAGAACTTCATAGGGTGCAAGAAGAAAACAACTTTATTTTTCCCCCCAACTCTCCCTTTACACCTACAGTGTGAGTTATTTCTTTTCCTAATCCTGGATGAAAGCTCTGAGGAGTCCCATTACTTTTCTGGTCGTTGTCAGATAATAAATCCCCCAAGCACTGTCAGTGGCAAGAGCAATCTTGATTTAGCTCTGTGCGCAGTTCAAATGTTAGTGTAATGAGCAAAACATGGAACTCCATCCAAAGGTGAAGTTCCTTCCCTCCTCCAGCTTGGACTGTTCCAGGCTGGGACGCCTGTGGTGGTGGGGATGGGGAGAAGAGGGTCGGCTTCTTCTCTCTTCCCTGCCTTGCGCTTCTTGTCTTCCTTCCCTGCTCAAGTAGTCTCTGGCTCCTGGAAGGCTCGGTGGGAGAACCAGGAAGTTCTTAGTTGACTGACACAGAAACCAACCTTCATGGTGCTCGCTGGGATTTCCCTGCTGGCTCTTACTTAGATGGAGGTTTTCCTAGAATCTTGGGGCCTCCTGGCCTCAGCTTCCTTGGTCAGAAGGACCACGAGTCTCCTGCAGCGGCTGCATGAAGATCTCTCTTGGCCCTTGAGCATCCCATGGCCCACATCTTGGTTGTGGTCACATCCCTGGTTGCCTGGGGCAAGATTTAAATGGCTGCAGACCAGCTCCCTTCTGTGCAGCCCCTTCGGACCCTGGCATCCTCAGCCAACAGGGCAGCCCTGTCCTCTTTCTTTCCTCTCTGCTTCATGGCCTCATCTGCCCTCAGCTTCATCCAGTTCTTTCCCGGTCGCTCTGGCAGCAAAAGTCAAGCCCTCTGAATGGCCCTGTGAAACCTCCTCACTTAGCTTAAGAGAGGGCAAAGCACCCTCTTCCCCAACAGGTGGGATTGCAAGAATGACTTTCAGACCACCACCAAGGCTAGTCCCACCCACATGTCCAGCACCTTATTTTGAACTCGGCAAGTGGTTGGTACCTACTGTTTTATTCTCAGCCTTTGGGGCCACTGCAGAAATGGAGACAGAAAGAATCTTATTTTAACATCCCGTTACATCTGTCAAAGTTTCAGGAATGTATTTATTTTCCTTCTCTTGAAAATCTACGAGCAGGGCAATTTCTCCAGGAGTCCTAAGGCCATTGTCCCTTTGCCCTCTGGGGTGGGGATGCTTGGTGGCCACTTTGAGGCTGTGAATTCATTGATTCTAAGAGGTGACAGTGCTGCCCCTTGCTTATTTGCTAGGACAGAGAAGAAGGATCTTTAAGGAGTCTGTACTGGCCGAGTACTCCAGGGTCCCTGGGTGCCCAGAAGGTGAGCTGGGGAGGTGAGGGGACATGGGGCCTTGGCTCACCTCAGCCTCAGAGGCCAGCCTTCTGGTCTGGGTGCAGTCTCCTCCTCACACTTCACCAGAAGAGGGAGTCCGAGGCTCACCGATCCCCAAAGAGACGGGGCTGGGATTTCCCCTTAGACTTGTGCTGGAGAAGAAGGGAGACAGATTGGCAAGAGGTACTTTCCTGGTTGGAAAGCCAGATTGAGGTGGGGTTGGGGAGCAGCAGAAGGGACTGGGGCTGCCCTTTGCACTTTGTCCTCCTGTCCTCAGCCCCAGAGCCCCTGGAGCTGGCCGAGGTGGAGGCTGGTGAGAGGGAAGCCTCTTGCTGGGCCTCATGCTCCCTGTGGCCCTTTGCCACTGGGGCCCCTGCAGGGTTCTCCTGGCTGCTGTGCCCTGATGGGGATGAGAGGCCGGTGCTCTCTTCCCAGTGGCTTTGGGTGAGGGTTGAGACTCTCTGCAGAAAAACTCCTGCAGAAAGAAAACTCCCTCCCTCACCTGTAGACCATGACCAACAGAATTCCACCCTTTGAGGGTCA